TTGGCCCCGCCCCTCAGACCCCTGGGGGCTAAGGACTAAACCGGCAACCATTTTTGTTGACCTTTGTCCATGGAAGGTCCCTGCAAAATTTCATTGAAATTGGTTCAGGGGTTTTGGAGAAGAAGTCGAAAATGTAAATTGTTTACGGACGCACGACGGATGACGACGGACAAAAGGCGATCGCAATAGGTCACTTGAGACTTTGTCTCAGGTGACCTAAAAATGTAGGAGAAAATCTTCGGACAAAATCAAATACTGGAATGAACAAAAGGCAATAAATTTTGCAAAAATTGTCGAATCAAAATTCTTTTAAAGGAGACACAACTTCATATCATGATTATAATGTATACCTAGTTTCAAAGAGATCGGTCGAAAAATGTAGGAGGATATTGCCGGAAAAACGAAGTTTACGCCGGACGGACGGACAACGCCATACCATAATACTACCATCAAATTTGACGGTTGTATAAAAATAAGACAAAAGGAGATACAAACCTTAGCAATCTTGTTTGCTGGCGTTTCCGTTTTGAGGGATTTGTTTCAAAATGATGTGGATGTTTCCGTTTCTTACTTGAGGCAATTGCTGCAGCAGCCGCAACCCCAATGGTACCTAACGAATAGACAATAGCAAACAGTGAACAAATAGTATGTCTTTGACACAGGTCTATTTTTTTTTAGGACATAAAGGTTTTATAATGACGATGAACATTAATCTATACACAATGATGAACAGTTTTAGGAAAGAAAAATGTGTATGTGTTTTATGTAGTAATTCAGGAAAAAATTAAAACTTAGAAAGTAAATAAAAATTTGAATAAAATTAAGAATGAATAAAGGAATTTCTAACCTGCAGCTGCTAGTTGAGCAGTGACATCGTCTGTGACTGCATTGCGAAGAAGATCAGAGGCGTCAAACTGTCCACTCTCCGGAGAACTAGGTTCACTGATGTCATCGCTGATCATGCCCGAGTTCATGTGACTGTTCATATGAGACGTGTTAATTGTCACCGTATTGGAGTTGTTCATGTTACATATCGTCATCCCACCCGTCGATGTTACATGGAGGTTGTTCATTGTCACGCTTCTCAGAAAGATCACATCTCTTCACACATTTTGCTTTGAACCTTATGAAACATACAAGAAAGAAAAAAATGTACTAATTATCAACTTGATACAAATGTGTATATTGTATATTGTGATTACTTATGGAAAACTTGTCAATAAATATGATTTCAATTTTACACAACAAAATGTTGATCGGGGTATAAAGTTTTAAATTTATACTTCTATAATCACTCTTGTTAGCCAAGATGGAAGCATACAATGGGGTCTTTACACATTAGGAAACTATGTATTTCTGGTGATTGCTCAATGTCTTAAATACTAACAGAATTCCCAAACTAAACCTTATATTGCAGATCTGAAAATAATAAACTATATATTGTTTACATATTGGAACAACGCCATTCTGTGACCTGTTTCTGTGCCCTCTACATATAGAACATGCAACATATACTGTGATACTGCTAACAGACCTGAGAAAGGTACGTGGAAGTATATATCTCAAAATGTTTACAAAACTGATTTTACGCTTGTATCTGCAACATTTTGGAATCAAAGCAAAGAATTATACTGACAACTTCTAAGAATGAAGAAGGAAATTCACAGAAGAACATATTGGAATACCATACTTTTTGGGGTTGCATGTAAAATAGCCGTGGAGACAAATTGAACCATTGAACCAGACCACTATGACAGTGATGCACAACGTTTAAGCAGATAAAGTTGCGATGAAATTTAATATTCATAACTTTTATAAAAATTATATCCTTTAAAGATGAATTGCTGTTGTTTTCTAATCAGATAAAAGGCTTTGGTAGCAGTGCTTCTTTAATTTCTGCATGTTTTTGAGTAATAAATATATTCTTTAACTCGTTTTTGTTTAATTTCCTTCAACATTGTTGCAGACGTTAACTAAACGTTGACATCTAGAAATTTTCTGTATGTGCACATCAATGCATAAAATGTCTGGGCACAGAAACAGGTCCTCTGGTGATAATTCACTGGGATTAAAATGAGATACAATATTGATTTTTTTGTCTTATGATTTATCTAAAAAAGTGTTCACAATTGACAGGTGGATATCAAAATAAAGAGAACCTGGCTCATTGCTAGATACCAGAAGAAAATTAAAAAAAACACATTGATAATTATATATATAAGGTCTACTTTCTCTTTGGTGTCGGCTTCAAGTGAAATCACAATATTCTTCTGTGTTAGATTCCACGAATGCACTCGGGGTGCTTGAGCCATGAGGAAGGAAGGTGGGGGGAGTTCATGAATTGGCACTCTGAACAGATATAATTCAGGAGAGGTAGATCTACTGAAATAGGAAGTTATTCGTGATCTCGACACAACAACGTATACACACTGACTTTGATCCCTCAGCTTTTGCTTACTAATGCCCCCATTACATTGATGCTACAACAGGCTAATAACATGACGGCCGCCATATTTGCTCGTTTTTGTAAGGACATGAACTCACTGACAATACAAACATGGATTCTAATGTTTCATTTTCAATGTTTATATTTGTAAGGATAACACAGGCGGGTTTTCTGTTTATACTGGACAGGGGCAACTTCGTCTGCGCGATAGACTGTCAACATGCGCAAAGGGTTGAGAATCTTACTACAAACAATGCGACTGCGCTTGGGCTTGCGCGCACCTCCAGTTACAAAGCATCGAAGGAGGACAGATGCCGAAGGGGTGTTCATTTTGGACCACGATTCACTTTTATATTCTATATGGGCTCCCATTATTACTTTAATTATGATGTTTAATTATTGGACTCTATTCTGGTTGCATCATAAACGACATATATGCGCAGACAAACACATTTTAAGTCATTTTGCTAGCTAGGTCACTTGGCAGTTTCCGAGCTACAAACAAACATGGCGACAGCGACATGCGCATTGCTTTGTAAATAAAATTCAGACTTGCGCCGTAACTGTGATTTTCTGACCATTTATAACACAATTAAGTAAAACTTTGTTATGATAGTGAACACAGGAAAACAAAAAATATCATTTAAACTTCAAAATATATACAAACCTTGACGAATTGTAGGGAAAATCAATCACGCCGAGTGAAGAATATTCATCCGCCACTAGGCTTCCGCACCTTGTTACACCCTATTTCTATACTTACGCGGAAGAGACTAGTCCACGGTTGGCGCTTACAAATGCATTGATCCATGTATTCCACTAATAATGTACAATAACTTGAGCGTTTAATTCATTTTGTCTTAGATAAAATATACAGTCTGGCATTTTTTCATAAATTTGATGATGTTATATCTTATGATGTAGGTCTAAATGCAATTAGCATATCTTTATGTTTATGAATGTTGATCCTAATGCAACCATTAATTAAAAAAAAATAATGAAATTTTAAGATCAAATATGTTTTCGTTTTTATTTTATTTTTTTATTGTTGGAGTAAGTGTGTGCGGGGGCGGGGGGAGGGGGTGTGTAATTAATTAACTACATTTATTTTACAACACTTTTGAATCAACTTATCACTCTCGGCTAGTTGCTGACCAAAATGGAAGCGCTCAGTGATCTAGGAAACCTAATTAACCAATGCAAGTACCAGAAGAAATCCAATGCAGGTTGCAGGTGTCGGGTATGCAGCATGACCATATACTTTAGAAAAATGACCGTACGGTCGCAATCGGGGAATCGAACCCAATCTGTTTTGTTGAAAGACGATTGAGTCATCTACAGCGACAACTGATCATGACCAAGCCAGATAATTTGTTTACGTGTATCGGTAGACAATATGTATACAAAATAACTTAAAATATGGTCCCAGTAGCATGTATAACATTTCGTCTGCATTGTTAAAAACGAGGTCAGGAAATTTCATTTTAAAGCGTAAAAATTGAGAGTACCGAGAAAGGATCCCTTTCAATGAATAATAGACAATGACCATAGCGGGGATTTTTTTTAGTTTGAAGCCTAAAATATTTGGGGCATTTTGAAAAAAATAAAAATATTTATACATTTAAGGGCCACGCTATAAAATATTGTATACCTTTATTTTAACAATTCTCTTGAATATGGATGTGATGTTTGGGTTTTTCGTTGTATTGCTAGAGAAAATGAGCTTGGATTCAGCAGATACGGGTACACGTATATAGTTACACAGATAGTTACACAGTATAATCACCTTAATGTCAAAATATATAGACATAATATCATAATTTTGTTAAGAAAAGTTATAATACGTAATATATTAATAAATTAAAACACACTATCACAGGTTCATATCAAGAGAGCAGGTGATTGGGACAGCCCCTACCTAACAAGCTCTCTAGATTTTGTACTTACTTATCATCATATGCCATAATAAATAAAGGGTTTCATAAATATAATATAGATATCATTTCCTAGTTCTGCCTTGTAGTGAAATTTAGGCTTCCAAGGGTTGGGGAGCCCCCTACCAGCGAGGTCTGCTAAATTCACACTATCTAGTAGCTAATTATAATTTAAACGGAAGATTATTTTCATATAAAAACAAATCTGATTGACCCCTGGTATCATATTTAACAAATGCATAAAATAGAAAATGTAATTGTATGTGATATTCAGCCGAAAATGGCTTACAGGACACAGTTTGAAAGTTAATCACAGAACTAATGTTTAGATACCCTGTGTAAACCGTATGGCTTACCTATAGAAGAAAACCGTAATTAAATATCATAGTTAATTCAGGCCTTATTCTTCATCTAGCTCAGGGTAGACAACTTCGGTTCCTCTACCAAGTTGTTCCCCATTGAAGGAGGGAGGGTCAAATGCTATATAGGCCATACAATATAAGCACTGTCGAAAAAATTTAAAGACAGTTTTATCATTTATTTAGAATTCAACACTCATTCTATAAAGATGATAAACCAAATATTTATATGTAGTGTGCATTGTCCGGTTAGTTTACAGTAAGCTACGGGATCAGTAATATTAAATGTGTAAATTACATTAGAAATAAAATTGAAAGTTAGAAACTCTGTCTTTTACGAAATATTTTCTGACCAGATATTTTCTGTTGTCAGTTTGACCCAGATATTGTCTGTTACCACTATGACCCAGGTATTTTCTGTTGTCACTATGACCCATATATTGTCTGTTGTCACTATGACCCATATATTTTCTGTTGGCACTATGGCCCAGGTATTTTCTGTTGTCACTATTACCCATATTTTTTTCTGTTGTCACTATGACCCATATCTTTTCTGTTGTCACTATGACCCATATATTTTCTGTTGTCACTATGGCCCAGGTATTGTCTGTTGTCACTATAACCCATATTTTTGTCTGTTGTCACTATGACCCATATCTTTTCTGTTGTCACTATGACCCATATATTTTCTGTTGTCACTATGGCCCAGGTATTTTCTGTTGTCACTATTACCCAGGTTTTTTTCTGTTGTCACTATGACCCAGATATTGTCTGCTGTCACTATGACCCAGTTTTTTTTCTGTTGTCACTATAACCCAGATATTGTCTATCGCCACTATGACCCAGATATTGCCTGTTGTCACTATGACCCAGATATTTTCTGTTGTCACTATGACCCAGATATTGTCTGTTGCCACTATGACCAAATGAATACTGGGTACCTTTATCAAGTACTGTTGGTCGTTAGATTAATTGTTTATCAAGTTATCGTTTTCATTTATCGTTTTGTTAACCCGCCCACTGTCCGTATAAAAACAACGGTTTTCATGATAATTCATTCTACAGAAGCGATATGTGGTTTAAAAAGGGAAAATGCATTGGTTCTTCTGTAAAATGATAGTTTGAATAAGCAATATAAAATAATTAAATTATATAAAAATTATAACCATGTATTTCAATACTTAAAAAGACGACTAAATTTTCCATAATCAACCATTTGCACACATTATTGTCGTTATTCTGCACATGAACTTTTCACTGGTAAAATGTTTACAGGCGCCTTCCATGGAGTGCAGAATTGAGTTAATTCTGGTTCCTCATATATATGATATGCTTCTGTATTGTTATGCAAATATAATTACAATATACAGCCGAGCTTACTTTGACGACTGAAATTTGACTCCAGTTATGTCCATTTAAATCTATAAAAAATATAAAACTAACAACTTTTGAAATGTAATGAACAGTAATCTGTCTAGTATTCTTTTTTAAATCAGACTACTAGGAAAATAAAAACAGAAAAGGAGATGTTTTTGCGTATTATCGAACAATAATCAATTAAATTACAGAACATGAACATTCCTATTTTTCAGTTTTAATAATTACGAATAAAGCCTTGATTTATATTTAACTTATTTTACGTGGTAAATCTGACTACACATGTTTTATATAGTTGAGTTTGGTGGGGTTAAATATATAATGTACATGGACGATTAAGATTCAGATGATACAGTTAAAAGATAATAGGAACCCGGATAGTCCTATAGTTCGCGTGTTTATATTAATAGGCGACCAATATATTTATAAAGGTTCGAAGTATCAATAGCGTCTCTATTGGCATTGATTTCGCAATGAATCGGAAGGTCTTTATCTCATAGTTCGATCCAAGTCATTATTCAAAACAGTCGAAGCATTGCGTCCCCTTTAGATTTAACTGACATTGTGATATGGATTCCGTTTATTGTAGTTTACGTGGACGGTAAGTCGTATCGAATCATTATGGGGATTTACATACCATTGAAACATGTGCCACTTTAAATGTCACATACAAACTGTAAATAGGAAATTACCTCATCTCTTAACAAGGTACTGTTAGCAAATGATGTAGCAGATTTTTTGGAAGACGTTTTTTTCGGAAGACGGATTACGAATTAACATGACAGGGATTGCAGTTTGATTCGAAGCAACTGATGGGGTATTAACGTATCAACACAATATGAATCCCGACGAGAAAAGTAAGATAATCCAGAACCTGACCTACTTGAAAGAGAGGCTGGTGGAATTGGACCCTATCATCGACAGATTGATAGAAAACGACGTTTTCCGATTTCACCACAGAGCACAGATCGAGCAGATCTCCAAACCTACTCCACATAGGCAGTTTAACGAGTTTATAAAGATACTGACGTCGTCAGGAAACAGGGATGCCTACAGTACGTTCATCGAAGCACTTAAGACCGAGGGATATACCCCGATTGCACAGAAACTACAGAAAACTGCACCGAAAGATTGTAAGTCTGTTTTTTCCCCATGAGCGAGTACTGACTTTATCCTTAACGGTAGCGCCAATGTTCAACAAACTATGTATGCTAAGTACAATATGTTGTCGATCATCTCAATATCGTTAAAAACAGTTATAATTATCAAAAAAAATAGAATTGGAAAATAGTAAACAGTCCGAACGTGCTATGGTAAATTATGTTTTATGAACCCTGTATATTAGGTTTAAAATGATCGCTTATAGAAACATGAAGTAAGGAATTAAGCTCCGAATCTAGTTTATCGGCGCAGAAAAGACAAACAAATTAAATAAACACCCATTAAAGACTCATCATTGGCTCTTAAAGTCAAAAACATGAAACGTCCACGTATGTTTTGTCTCATGGATTACCGAACTACTCGGTAGTGAAGCGGACGTAAAACCACTCAAACAAACAATCGCCCATGTCGAAAATGTTACCGAAATATTTAGAAATGCAACAAAACGGTGAAGGTGAACATAAAATCATTTACAAAGTTAAAAATGCACCTTTTGGCTACAAAAGTTTATTGTAGTTTCTATTCTCTAACTAAATTATGTTAGTATTGAGTGCATTTTTGTAGTATATGTGTATCAAGGAATTTTGTCTTTATACACACAACACGTAGCAGCCACTTCATTGATTATCGATATATTTCGAGTTAGTTTTCTACCTTAGCAATATATCTCACCTGTCAAACCGCGTAATGAAAAAGACGAAGGTCATTTATGAACAATGAAATCAGCTATCTCAAATTTATTGAATTAAGTATTAAATAATCTGGTTTTATTATGCAGCTTCTGAATTTATTCAAAAATTAAACGTGCTTTCAATTTTCATAGAAGAGATAGCTTGAACAACTACACAAGCGTAGGTATTGAATACCTTAACAAGATGTTTCCTCAAAACATAATGGCTGCAGGTACCACACGCCTGACTGAATATCAATGGGAAACAAGTTTGAAAATAGATATCTGAATTCCGAATCAATCCACTTTCTAAACCTGTGTGTCGGTTTCCAAGACACGTCACCATCAAAATATTGATTATCCTAACGTAGCAGAATTACTAACAAGCACAAGTTGTATAAATCATTCAATAAAACGGCGATGAAAAGGCGTTTCATGCATTGTACTATATCTTATGTAGGTTATGTAGACAACAATCGGTGCGTTGTTTTTGTTTAGGCCTTGTATGCATTGGCAATAAAAGAAAAGGGGAAAATAAGATTTGCTCAGGAAACCTTTGTGAATAGTAAGCTCTATCAATTAATGCTTATACTGGAACTCACGTTACAGCGGGATAAGTGGTGTTACTTCTGTGGATTATGGTAAACATATTAACTACTATTGTATGTTAACATAGGTTTGCTTATTTTGTACGTTCATACACTTATGTGTCATACACTTTGTGTCATACACTTATGTACCAGTATTTTTACAAATGGTTATAGTCGTTATTGTTTTACATACTTCAGTAAAACTGTACCTCTAACTAGCAGCATTGATATAATACTCATGATGTAATGATAATAACGTGAAATACGAAGTAGGGATGCACCTATTTATAACTTAAGTTTGTCGTTGCAAAGAGCCAAATTTACAGTTTTCACACCATACCAAAGGTTAGAGGAATACAATTATGTGTTAAATGAGTTTTGAGATATATGAAAATATACAGCAAAAAGTGTCTTTATACCTCTTTATACATTATAACTTTTACGGTTGTAACTTCTGGCTCCAACAGTTACTTTATTCTTAAATTAGTATTTCGTGCTAAGCGTGTCACAATAAATAACAGCTAGACATTTGTTAGATTTCATATGACATATAATTTTGCCGAAACGAGCGCTTTTGACGTTTATCAAGGGCTCTGGCTTTTGTAGTTTGATAATTTTAAGACTCGATTATCGCGAAGTCGCTTTACTCAAACTCGTCGGATTGAGGATAATTTAGAATTATTCAGGTACTTAACTTCTAAAACAATGTAAGAATATTCAACATTTCGAGTTGGAGTAATTTGGTATATGTTTAAGTGTGAAATGCTGTGTAACACAATTATATTGTTGTATATCCTATTTTGTTTCAGTCGTTGTCCGGTCCGGTAGTCGCCTGGCAAATAGAATCAACTCTGCTTCCACTTCCGCCGGAAGGAAGACGAACTATGTAAATATGATTGATATATACTGGTTCATGTTGTCTTCTCTTTTGTTTTGTTGTAACTTGGTTTCTTGTTGTTACCATGCCGTGCCAACCTATGTGCATCATATTTGCGAGTGTTAATTGGCAGAGTGTTCCTCATTGACGGATTTTAAGGTCTAGCAGAGATAATTGTAGCTATACTTTGATTGCACAAGGCGACTGTAATGTATTCACGTCGGAAACTCGTAAGGTGGACCGAACAGTGAACGAAACACACACACAGATTGCAACTTTTAAAAAGTTGGTGAAACATACAAAAATGAATAACACTGCATCATACAGCTGTTTCCTACCTTTAAGACTCTTCGGTGATGCTAGGGGTCAAAAGGGACCATTTTCAGGATAAAAGTTTACACAAAGAAGTGATTTATGTACTGGCTTTGAATGCTAGGTTATTTAATGTGTTGATAACATAGTGTTTGCAATGTGTTATGAGAAACCTGATAAAATTATAGGAATCAAATGTCTAAAGTTACGTTAAAAACATAATGATATATTAATGCTACTATGTACATGGAATTTGTCTATGCCCAACACACATTTAATTAAATCAATGGAGTTAATAACTTATGGAAATTATTCAATCAAGTACACTGTATATAGCTTGAGATTTATTCTCTTGTTCTTCAAACGATTTATTCCCGAAAATTATATACAAAGAAAAATGTACAGATTTTAAGTAACATATATATGATGTCAATTATTTGTTAGTTCCTTCTTCCCTTATCTTTTAGAAAAAATCTACCAATACATAAACAAATTATGTTATAAAGAAAGCGGCTGCCCTCTCCCTTTTCTGTTCCTTATAGACGAGTTGTGCTGTTTAAAAATATAATTTACAGAAACTGAAAATGAGCTTTAGGTGCCGCACTGCTTGCTATGTGTGCTTAATATGATACTGTGAAAACTTGACCATTCCACAGCAACCGATTTTATCTTTTGTTGTTGTGTGATGATGTCTTTCCTTTTGTTTTGTTGTCATGATATTTTTCCTTTTGTTTTGGTGTCATGATGTCTTTCCTTTTTTCTGTGTCATTTCTATATTTCGTTTGTCGTCTTTTCAATTTCACTTTAGTTTTAGTATTTGTGAGTTGACGCTGTTACTTCTACTTGATTTTAGGAGCCTGTGGTTCCGGTACAAGTTGCTATCCCAGACGACGCCGGAGCCGCCAGTTTACCCGTTGCGCGGTCTGATGGGTGTACGGACTGTTCTAGCACCGTAAAAGCTGTACTGGAGGCGTTCGGCAGGAACCAAGAACATGTTTTGGAGAACATTGAACGTCAACGCAGGGAGGACAGGCAAGAAATGGAGAAACAACGGCAGAAGGACAAACAGGAATACCAACAACAGATGCTACATCTGTTTGGGAAATGTCAAGCGGAAAAACACGACATTATTAAACAAACAGAGACATCATTAGAAAAACTTCAGGAAGAAATCGATCATGTGAGGAAAGTGAACGTAGAATACAGTTTTCTCAAGGAACAGTATGACTATCTACGAGAAAAACAACAAGGCATGAGGGAGAAAGATAATGAACGACGCGAAAGACTTCTGCAACTTACAAAGGAAAAAGAAGAAGGCAAACGAGAAAACCAAAAGTTGGAAACCAAGATAGAACATTTGGAAACTAAACTACAAATGAGCGAAGACACACGGGAGGATATTGAAAACAAACAATATGAAAGTAACAAATACATCGAACGACTGGAGTCTGAGAAAGACGATCTGATGAAGCAGTTACGTGAAAAAGAACAAGAAAATAAGTCATTACGCGACCGTGTGGACGATCAATACGTCCAAATCACAGACCTGTTACAGAAACAACGAGATCACGAAGAAAGACACGAAGATCCGGAGTTCTCCCAAACGCGCGAACAACAAATCAGAAAGCTGGACATGATTTACGGTATGATGCAATCCATCTCGAAAGAGAAAACAGCATCTGTACCACCAGGCAAACTTGAGTTTAGGCCAAAGAAGATGATCATTGGCACCAACCTAGCCAAGGCTACTCTTGCGGACAGGAGGAAGATGAGGACGGACAGGTTCGATTCGTAAACATATTAAGTTTTTATAAGCTTGGTATTTGTATTAGTATACGTTTCCTTAGGATGATATGCCCGTTTTCCATTTTATTATCGGGGATATATTTTTTTATGAAAATACAATTAATGTAATGTAATGTCACACACTGAAATGGAACCATGACGCAAGCTATTTTAAACAACATAGAGTATTTTTAAGACTGACACGCTAACTATGGTGAGGTTCTCCGTCGGGTTATACCGGCGCACATATATGCAAGATCAACTTACAGCTTGTACATTTTATACCTTTTAATCAGTCACAGGTGCAAAGCCACATTTTGTACAGAGGTGATAAAGAATTGAGACACCGAGATGGCAGACTGCCACATGTCGTATGTGGAACCTCATTGGCAGGCGTCCATTTCAAGCTTCCGATTATTACTCATGCAATTGTCTTTATTGATTCACAGCTTGAACATTATATGTGTGTATATAAAAATATAGAATGTTATGTTACAGCATGTTATCTTGTTTGAAGGTTTTTGTGTTATGTTAATTTTATTCTGGTTATGAAATTAAAGCATTTTATAATATAACTTTGTCTGCGTTTTTGTCTATGAGAAAAAGTATTTGACGACATATAAATGATGATCAATCCTTATTGACTCGTTTTAAATTTGGTTTATTTCATAACAGTCATAAAATAAGCTTTGAGGATATTTTAATCACTCTTGTTTGCCCGGATGGAAACACAAAACGAGTTTTAACGTGGGAGGAACCCGGAGAACTCTGATAGAACCCACGTCGTCGGGCAGGTGATCTTATCCGTTTTCACGTCCGACCGGGGAGTCGAACCCCCATTGTCTTGGTGAAAGGCGAACGCGTTATTCCGTCTTTGTATATTGCAGAGTTGTCTTCCCTTGTGAGCAGGTTTTGATTGTTACGTCATACACGAGTCACGACAAGAAATATGATACGACCGACTTTCCAGCTTATATTTATGAGTGAGGATGATGGCTTGAATTGTACAATTAAAAATAATTTGGAAAGGATAATCAGAATCAACTTTACAATAAAAAGACACCGTGTATCTCATTTTAAAGATTTCCCTACTATTGAAAATATTTTAACTTTTATTGATAGAAAATTGAGGGAGATAACTCATAATTATTGGTGGAATAATGTGTGGAATTCATGTGTGTAATCATGATCAATTGATTTATAACAAAAAATCGTTGATACTGGATTTTTAAGTTTAATACATGATTTAAAAAAACAACATATTTGAGATAAAGACAGAAAAAATGCTTACAAATATAGTAAATAAGAAAATACCAGTTTGACTATTGAAATTATTTTCTTGAAAAGCTTGCTTTTAATTCCTGGGCTTTGCTCTAAGCATACATCGTTATATACATCTATATGAAAAGCTTCGAAAACCAACAATGTGTGTGTAAAATGCATTGCATAGTGGACGATCAAAGTCCATGTTGCGTTCCTGTATCTGTATTATAACCAAAACAAACCAGTGTGAAGACAACCCACATAGTGTGAATTCATTTGCAGTCAGTTTAACTACTTTTCAACGAGGACAAAGGAAACCGTATTTATTTATCTATTTTTCTTAATAAACGAAACTATACTGTCAATAAATGTCAACACATAACTTATATACATGATATATACTCCGCTGTCTAAGTCTGGATTGTCATCGAGTCTACACTGTATGTCATTATTCACATCGTAGGTGACAAAAAACATTTTAAGGTTCTCTTTGTGTTTAACAAACTATTTATTTCGTATAGATCATATAATTTACAGGACTCCGTTTTACGATCCGTGGGTCAGGTCGTCTGTGTCTCGGGGTATACTGCCCTGTTTCTACTGTGTATTAAATGCTCTGTTGTAAATACAATAGGGTTGTTTTGAATACATTACATTGTCTTAGTGTACATGGTAAGATGGTTCCATTTAATTCTGCTTATCGTTGAATGTCATCTGCCTTTGTACGCAAAGGAATGCTGAACTGGTTTAGTGCTGGCGACGTAAAGATATATAGACTGAATATTGAAATATTATAACAATCACTGTTAAATATAAAGCAGTTCGATATTGAAAAAAGGAATAATTCGATGGAATTATGAGGTGATAATTGATAGTTTGTCAGTATTAACATTACAGTCGACATTAGATATCACTATGAACCAAGATGAACACAAGAAGATTGAACAGAATATATCGTTCATGAAAGAAAGACTCGTCAAGCTTGATCCACTCATCGAAAAACTCACGAGAAGGGGAGTGTTCAAATTCGAAGACAGACATCAGATCGTGAAATATTCTACGGATCATCGTCGTTTTAATGAGTTCATCAAGAAACTAAAAGCTTCTCCAAACCGAGATGCTTTCGTCTGCTTTCTTGAGGCTCTCAACGCTGACGGGCATAACGCCATTGTCCAGAAAGTCCAAAACACAGTGCCCAGACAAGTAGGTAAGTATCTTATTCGCGGAATATAATGCATTTCAAAGTATGTATTTAATTAGTTAATACACATAATTAAATCAAAATCGGTACCTAATATTTAAGTAAAGGGTACCAACAAGCTAGACTATTATAATACCAAATTGAATGTCACTATTGAAAAAGTTTTATTTTAGACTTTACAAAAGAAATATTTCATAAAAATAACATATTACCATGCACTCGGCAGAATTGTAGCTGTTCGAAATTGGAATGTTTGAAGAAAAAATGCAAGAAAACTGCAGATGTCTTACTGAGAACCTTTGCACTTAAAATATTTCACTGTAACTCTATCGACATCAAACGTATAAAATGCTTAGCTGGGGAACTTACTCTCAACCAGATGCATCGGTACCATTTACATTAACAATGTAGTATTGAAACGTTTAATATCAGGGACACGGCATGATTAAGTTCCATTACATAACACACGGCAAAATGTCAGGTTTCAATCGAGCTCTGATTCATCAACTATATTTTATGAAGATTACAGTAAGCATTACTTATTAAGACAAAAATAAGAACAATTTCTCCTATTAAAGTCAAGAATATCATGTATGGTCAATCTGAAGCAGTTATAATGTTGACTTCACATTTCAGGTTTCGTAAAAACTCCTGGGAAAGTGACAGTTCCTGAACCGCAACAGATAACCACTCAACCTAAACAGACACCACCTCCTACATCTAACAGCCTACTGAGAACTCGCCCCGCCCCTTCTTCATCCAAAAACTTACTGAGAACCAGAGCAACGCCTTCTACACCGAACACAGCAGTGGTAAGAATAACTATACACAGAAAGCAACAAAACCATGTAGTTTTAAGGAGTGTTATTCAGAACAAATCGCAAAAAAGTTCATGTTTTGCATTATACCAGTCAAAACTGTATATTTTCCCTCCCAAGTCAATCGAAAGAGCACCGCCAATTGGTTTGTGATCAGATAAATCTACAATGCTGCCATTTTTTTTAATTCTGTAGAAAAATCCTGATATGTATGTAAATATTGTTTAAATATAATATTTTAAGATAATTTGAAACGAAAAAGATAACAGTCACATACACATTTTGTTATATACATGTACCCCCTTCTACTTTGATCAAAATACATGATTAAATTGTAGGAGTCCAGACGATGGGCTTTTGCCGAGCGCGTCAGTACTGTACCTAGTAAGGATGTGGACTACCCTGAACCAGGGGAACTGAAGACCGTGTTAGACCTGTTTCAACAAAAACAAAATATCATCCTAGACAAACGAGTTCGTGAGATGAAACAGGAACAACATGATTACATGCAGGAATTCTCTGACCAGTGGAAGCATGAAAAACGTGACTTAATGAAGGAAATATCAATATTGAAGAGACAGTTTGATAGCCTGAAAGATAAATATGATCATCTGTCTGCTCGGGGTACAAAGAATAGTGACAGATTATTTGAGGAAAGAGGAGGGGACTTAAAGCGAAGTAATGAGGACTTACAGAACAGATGTAGCAAGCTTTCAGACGAAAAATCCTCTTTACAACAAGAATGTAAAAGACTGAACGAAAAAGTGGATAAACAGCAAGCACATATTTCGGATCTATTACAAAAGCAGAAGGAGGCAGAGTCCCTTGGTCCACAAGTGATAGTAGGAGAGGATGTTTATGGTTCAGGGGCCGACCAAGATTATGGATATGCCACAGCGTACGGCTCACAAAGGAAGGACCTCGGAAAGAGGTAGTAGGCTTAATGTGTTTTTGATAATGATTAATATATTCTGTACCATTCAACTCTTTATAGTGCTTTGTCACGTAGCTCTACATTAGGTAAATGAGTGATAGGTAATCTCTTACCTATATTGATATATAATTGTGACGTCACAACAGTGCTAATGACATAACGAAACTAAGGATGGACTGAAAAAGGGTGGTTCGTTTGTCCTAAAATGGAATCAACTTTTGTAAAATAAATATCACGATGGGCATGTAAGATGTTATGTAGAACATGTTATCTAGTTGTTGTATTATGTTATTTTATTCTGGTTATATAAATAAAAGACTTGTTGAATTTCTGTCTGCGTTTGGCTTGTTGTGAATGGGAACTGATATAAACATAATATAAATATCTATTAACTTGTTCACTTTCTAATGCATCCTTTTATCACGGTTTGTTTCAGCCAACATATAATATAGCTAAAGTACTTACTGTCTTACAGTTTCTTCATTTGTCATATTTTTCTTTCTTCAAGAAACTTCAATCAAACTTTCAAACCTAAATAATATCAATTTCAGATAATAAGATTTTCTTTATAAATCTAGTGCACGTGAAATAACAATGGACCTTTTCATAGTGATTAATTATTGCTGCTTGATTATACAAATATCGAGTTTCAAAAAGGGAGTTAATTCGAACAGTGTTTCAGACCAATACACATACTCTATATCGAGTTTCTTTAGATAAGTTATTTTTCATTTAAATGTCTAAACTGCTTAGTTGTATTTGATTTTTTTTTGTCTCCAAACCTTTGACACAATAACCAAACAAATTTCAATCGATCAGTTTATCACCTGTCTCTACCAGGAATTATTAGGAGTGACAAAATGTTTATAAGATACCACCTAGGTACCTCAGAAATACCTCGAATTGTTAAACTTCCATTCAGAATAAGATTGTATCCTTAGAGTGAGTTCATAAGACACATTCTTAGTTGGCATTGTTTTATATTTATATACATTGAGAGAATTATTTAATTAGTGATCGATTCCATAGTCATTACAGGGAAAACTTTCAGGGACATTGATTATAATCCATACTGTAATTTAAACATTACTGGTAGTGTAAGAATCTTTGGCAGTATCAGTCCGACAGAAAATTAAGTCAACAGAGTAATATATCTACTTAGTGACATTCGGAGTGAGTTAAGAAAAGGACATTTTCCTATATTTTCGTTTTTGCGAATCAGTCAGGTTTTTTTTCATTAGTCAAATGTTCCCTTCATGTTAAAGTCACACCACAAACAAGTCACCACACTCCATGTTACAACTATAGAAACACACGGAAATCAGTTAACTATCTGCGCACCATTTACCACTTCGTCTTGTTGACGGATGTCGTAGTACATTAGCAGAACAAAATAACAGCTTAAATATAGATTACATCTTCGAAATCTGCCAGATGATTATTATATTTTTTCGGATGTGCCATTTTCGAGCTTTTCGCGGTTTGATTCCACCGCGAATTCTGCAGTTGTGCGAAGATTTCCTGTTCCAGGTATTCCTGTAAAAGTGGAAATCTTCGCACGTGGAAATGTTCATGAAGGGACTTTTTGAAATAGTCGATGTGAGGAAATTTTAGCGTTGGCATTGGTTCTGAAAACTACACATTCTATTTATGATCTATGTAATCTATTCGTGTGTGGATATTTTTTTGGCTGATTTACACAAATTTCTACACCGAAAAATAAATTCCACATTTACAGTATTATGACTTTGGTTAGAGACGAAAAACATAAAGTAATAAAACGTACAACGTATCATTCTCTTTATTAAAAATATAATCATGAATAAAGGGGTACATGCAACGAAAATTGCCTTTCATTCACGTTATCTCGGTTTCCTTTTAAAATGTACATACGGACACAAAGGTCTTCATTTTAAAATACCACAGTGGTATTTCAACCTATGCACATGTAGCACAGGATTACAATGTATTTAAACGTTTCACTGTGTTTTTTGCATTGACCGACCTTCTTTTCACGAATCTACACCGCGCGAGTAATAATTTCCAGACGAAAACGCAAAAAAACATGCACAAATTCAAAGCTGTATATAGTTTTTCTAACGTTTTTAAGTAGCAGCCAAACTGTTGTTGAGGGATTAATGAAATCTTTTACCCTCTTGGGGTTGAGATAGGGGGATCTCAACCCGATGGGGGAAGATTCTTAAGTTGCCAAACACGAGGCTTTGCCGAGTGTTTGGCAACTTAAGAATCTTCCCCCGAGGGTTGCAATCCCCCTATCTCATCCCCGAGGGGGTGAATGATTATTTTTCTCTTACCCTGTTGTTCCAGCCTAAGTTTAAGATCAACCATATTGTTTGTAAACAGGAACACGTGGATAGCGTATTAATATTATATGTATGCGTCAGACGCTTCACGCATCATATGATCCAACATTTACCAGATCACCGATTTTAAACATTTTAAAATCAATCCCGTCTTCTTTGATGTCAAATGTAAACATGACAATATTAGCAGACGAACCTGTGTATAAGTGTGTGACCTCATAAAAGTAGTTCTTCTTCCGGGTCACATCAGTGACGTCAGGTTTATTGTGGAGAACGTGCAAAGAGCACGCGTAGCTTGTCTCAACCCTAGGGTGAGACATGGAAATCTCACACCGGTAAAAGTAAGGATAAATCTGTCCAGGGTAAAGAGAAAAGGTTATCACTATAGAGTAAGTGAAAGCTCACCCACCCAGCAGATAACGCCACTCGTCGTACTCACAATTATCATATACGGCTTTAGATTTTACATATAGTGCCTTATTCATTTTAGGATCATAAATTGGGATATATATTGACACGGAACTTTCAGATAGGGGTGGTTGAATACTACTTAACGTTTGTCGTAATGAGAACATGCACGGTTTAGTGGAGATGTATTAACCTAGCTTATCAAATATAGATTGACAATATGATCAAACTTTAACTTCGTATTATTCGTGTAACAAAATTTTAAAGTGTCATTTACTTATTTCCTCGGGGAGTGGGTTTGGGGAATTTCGTCCTTTCGCCTATAAACGCTGTTTTTAAGATGCAAATTACCGGTTTTATTTTCTGCATAATAAAATCTGAAAACTTATGAACGCAGTGTTATTATACCGTTATCACAATAAAACAGGATAATTTAAATTAAAACAAATCCGAATAAACCATAAAAAGTATAAACCATCAAACAAACAAAATCTATTCGCGAAATTGAAATAATCTGCAGAAGGTATACAGATTTTCTGTTTTAAATAAAACGTTCATTAAGTACAGATAATATGATTAAAGTGTTTTCTTACGGTCTATAATCAAGGACCCAGCTAGCAGTATTAAGTAACATCAGCTTACCGGCAAATCAATTAAACATTTTTCCTCTTCTGAAAATATACACGATTTCTGTGTCGCTCGTTTGGTGATGGCGATTTTGGAATCCAAGGTGATTATGTTTTAGTTTTAGTTAAGATAATAAAGAAAATAACAGAGATATATATTTTATGCAGTTGAATTATCAAGCTGATGGTATTCAATACAAGCAGACCCAGGTCTTCGGTAACTTGTTATTGTGGTATCAAAGGCATTGTCGTAGGTATTAAATGCTATAATTAAATGTCGTGTTGGTAAAACAATAGGGACGTTTTATATACATTGCATTGAGTTAGCCTGCATGGTTGATGGTCCCATTTAATTCTGCCTATCTTTTAATGTCATCTGCCAATGTCATACCCGAACACTGAACGAGCTTAGCCCCACAGACGTTAACTCTTCAAGCGGTAAACACAATCTTTGAAATAATATACGATCGTTGGTAAATTTAAGGTAGTGTGATATTTGTGAGGGGCACTTTTTTTTCTATTTCAATCGCGGATTATGAGTTAGTTTATCGCTGTTGCACCTATCAATATGAACCAAGAGGAACACAAGAAGATTCTACAAAATCTTACCTATATGAAAGGACGACTTGTGGAACTTGATCCACTCATAGACAAACTTATTGAGAAGGACGTTTTCAAGTTCGAACACAGGGAACAGATAGAATGCCACCCGACAGCACATCGTCAGTTCAACGAGTTCATCAAGATACTGAGAGCGTCTCCACACAAGGACGCGTTCGCCTGCTTCCTTGATGCTCTTATTGCGGACGGACATCAGGCACTAGTCCAGAAACTCCAAAGCACGGTGCCAAGAGAGATTGGTATGTTACATAGAAAAACATGAGTGATACTTCTTTGAATTGATATGTTATTTGTAATTACAATAATTTGAACATATGCTGATGATAACATTGTGTTGGTAATTTTGATGTCAACTATAAATAACCTTTACAAAATAATTCAGGCAATTGCTTACATTCGATCAGGAATAAACATAAATAAAATCTAATTAAGCATTATTTCAGTCAAAATTGCTGTCGTTTCAGTTTCGATTATAACTATATATACAATGGTCTTTGCTTTGATTTAGCTGATTATACACATTCCAGGTTTCGCCAAAACTCCCGGGAAAGTGGTTGTCCCTCCTCCTCGTCAGACAACTGCTCAGCCTAAACCAACCGCCCCTCATACCTCTAGCAGTCTCCTTACAAGCCGACACGAGCCTTCTACCTCCAACACACCAGTGGTAAGGAATATTTTACTAGTAACAACAAACATGGTTGGTTCAATGTCTAGGATAACTTTCATTACTCTCATGTGACGCTATAGGAACATTTCAGATTGTAACATACAGTTGATTTGAATATATTTTGTGAAGTACAGTGGCTACATCCCAAAGCAGCGCATTTTCTAAACATTACTACAAATCCAAACATACAACACTAAATTAGACGCTGCAAATAAAACTTCCACTAAGGGCTGTCCCTACACAAATCATATTGGTGAAAAATTCAAAGCCCTGTTTAAAGGACCGACAAAAGTTACGAAGAAGAAAACCGCCTTGTAGACCTCCCCTGCGGTACTGGTTGTCTTACATTTATACTTCATTTATACATAAGGCATTTTGCTACAATTAATGTTTTAAAATAAACAAATTATTGTAATAATGAGAGATTACACAGATCTTTGTTGGAATGTAATTTTTAATCAATCATATTTTAGAAAAAGTTTATAACACTAGCTATATGTTTTCTATATTTGCTAAAAAATACGAAATAATCTGTTCTAAAATCAGTATAAAAAGTGTTCAAGTGTTAATGTAGCTGTATTATCTACTAATGTAAATGCATCAAACTTTCAGAGTAATTATTTTTAATATTAATTTTACAACACATCAATGTCATGTAAGTCTATTTTTGACAATAAAAATATGATTTCCCGACTTGTGCTTATATTTTAGGAGCATAGCCGATACGAGTTTGCCGAACGCGTCAGTACTGTACCTAGTAAGGATTCAGACTACTCGGAGACAGGAGGACTGAAGGCTATGTTGGAGCAATTCCAGCAGAAGCAAAACATAATCCTGGATAAGAGAGCACGGGAGATGAAAAAGGAACAGCAGGATTTCATACTGAAGAATGAAGTTATAATGGGCACTTACCAAAATCAATTGCAGCAAATTCAGAAATTCTTCGGTCGATGGGAAAATGAAAAACAGGAATTAATGAAAACAAACAGGAAAACTTCAGAAAAGCTTCAAGATCAAATGGATGCATTTGATGTATTAAAAAACCAATATGAAGAGTTGAAGAGGCAGTATGATAATTTAAAAGATCAATACTCGCAGCTCTCCTCCCGCCGTGCAAAGAACGAGGACAGAGGTGTTGAAGAAAGAGGAGGCGACTTGAAGCGAAGTAACGAAGACTTACGAAACAGATGCAGCAAGCTTTCTGAGGAGAACTATTCTTTACAGCAAGCGCTGGAGTCTGTCCAGATGGGTCTTAAGGAGGAAAAAGAAGCCTATCAAACTCTAGAAGACCAGAATACTGAGATGAAGTCTGAGGAAGAACGACTGAAGAATATGCTGAGGGAGAAAGACCGTGAGTGTAAAAGACTGAAGGATAAAGTGGAGAAACAACAGGTACAGATCAGGGGTCTGTTGCAAAAGCAGAAGGAGGTCGAGTACTTCGGTCCCCAGGTGATGGTAGGAGAGGACATGTATGGTTCGGGAAACAACAAAGACTACGGAGAGGTCAAGGAGGTTAATGCGTATGGGTCAAAAAAGAAAACACATCGCAAGAAGTAAAAAGGAACGCAATGATATGTATTAATTTGGATATTTAGGAGTTCTTACAGTTACATTTTCGACTTCCATTTCGTCGTTTGGGGACTAAAAAGTATTTACATATATAACAGGAAGTTTTCATATTATTGATGCTACATTTGTTTTCTTTATGAACAACGTCCTTTAAAAAAGAATGAATTCACAAGCTAAACTATTCATAAAGAAATGTATGAACTACAAGTGAAATGTTTCCTGTGATGACCACCGGTATTGTTTTTGTTTCATTGGGCCAAACGTCCAATTAACAGCTAAGGTCATTTAAAGACGAGATTATTCAGAAAAAAGCTAATCTGTACAGGACCTATAGCTATATAACAGTTTTCTAGTTTCCCTTTGGCTTTTCGTTCGAAGTGCATGTCGTACCCAGCTCTCCAAGGCAAACTTTTTCTTCATATTTTTTCTTTTGCAATTCCTCAGGATGAAGGGTTTTCATTGCAGAAAACGTTGTAGACAACAACAATAGTATATTTGGATAAAGAAGATATTGTTTCTCGCTTTATTAAATTTTTATTTTCCTTATATATTGTTCATATATGTTTATCCTCATATTTACAATGACAGCACTTTTGAACCCTCGCACTTTTATGTGAATAATTTTCAATCCTTATATCAATTAAAGTCAATTATACACATTTCAAGTTATTGTAAAATTAGTCCTTATCTCTCTGTTCACCTATGTCATATAATTTTACAACATAACCTCGATATCAAATCACCTATAACATATCATAATGGTAACCGTAAGATACACAAGAATGTACCTATACAATTGGGTAATTGATACGGTATGCAAAACATTAATTGCACTGTACTTATCCAAATTGGTCTAAACTAATGTTGAAACAAAAGGGGAGATGCATCAAACCCCATAATGATATTAATTCCTAAAATAATAGGAGTACTGGTTATTTTCAAACAATACATTAAGTATTATGGGTGTGTAATATATCATCTAAAATATATTAACTAATATATATCATCTAAAATATATTGTCTACAATATATCATCTAAAATATATTGTCAACATTATATCATCTAAAATATATTGCCTACAATATATCGTCTAAAATATATTGTCAACAAAATATCATCTAAATTATATCGTGTACAATATATCATCTAAAATATGTCATCTACAAGTTTAATAAATCATCTACATTATATCATCTAAAGTGTATAATTATATTGTACAATATTCATCTGCAATTTTTATCTAAATTATAAACTATATATCATTTAATCGATGGTGTTTCGTCTATGTTATATCCATGTTTTATATCATGCACGATTTAATTCAGCATATAATGGTACTTTTGACATGATAATTATAATAGTCATACAATCATCTAATGCATTTCACGAAGAGAACGAATTTCTCCACGCTCAGATGATATTGCACATTCCCCGTCATCACAGGACTATGACGTCATATGCATATGTGTAGTATGTCTGTTTCGTCTAACTCTGATTTTAAATATTTATGTAGATATCTTCCCTTATGATTAATAAAATAGGATGGTCTATTTGTGTCTTGTAAAATAGTAGTGATGTATCACTTTATTAAATAAATACTAATTATGTTTTGATATTGAAATTACTTTCTTTTCGTTTCTCCGAAGCTTGACACCAGCATAAAGTCTTTGCTCATTAGATATTTAAATTAATGCGCGATTTCGACAATTACATTGGAGGCCATAAAAATTGAATATGAAAAACACATATCCTTACAACTACTAGTTACTTTTACCGTCTCATGTGTAGACATGCTTTTATTATACCACTTATCAATTTTATTTTCAGTGAAAATAAAGACATACTTACATTTTTATAATTGAATGAATTGAATTAAAACTTGAGTAAAATACAATTGCTAGTGGAAATATATTTAACAACTCGGGAAGTTAAGTCACTGCACGACACACCGGTCAGACCGGCTATCTTATCTCAGCGCACCTGTACACAGTGTTGCGAAATCAATTCTGTGTCACGTGAATATTTATCAACCCAGAAACCCTTATTTTATCCCGGGTGACTTTAGCATATGGACAAAGAATTTACAGGTACGTGAGCTATTTTTTGATATACTTCAGATTAATATTGAATACTAATGAGTGTCACTGTGGAGATTGTCTTGGATATATGTTATTTTCTTTTATAAGTAACAGGTATGTGTAAAGGGAATGTGAACTTAGATAAAATATTCTGACAACTGTTAATCATGAAATGTAAACAATCCGACGTCAAACAAAGAATACAAATCTCAAATGAGGAAATTGAACATTTAATAATATGGTGTAAAGTATTTCAATGTTTGTGTGAATATAGATAGTGTTGTGCTAGTAAAGGGGCACATATGAAGCTATGGATAATTATGTGCTAGTATGAATAAAGGAGCATGTGTAAATATATGTGTGATAAGTAGGGTGACCCACTTTATGTGGAGAGAGGGGGAGGTCACGCACTGGCTTGGTTTACGTATAAATAAAGAAGATGGCCCCATTACATTTCTACTGTGCATTGGATAGTTATTTTCCTGTTAAATAAACGTCAAATTTGCTATATTTACATGAAGAGATTATTAAAAGTAATGGGTTTTTCTGAGGAGGTTTGAACACATGTTTAGAGTGCTTCAGAGGATTATTAAAACACTCAATATGATGACTTCCTGATTGACCATCAAGAGATCGCGTGATCGAATCCCCATGGCGAAGATGTTTGTGAAAAATACTTTATATTTTGAAAAATAGATTCAAAAAGTTAACTGAAACAAATTTGTAAAATTACGTTTATGTAGACAACGGTAGGTGCAAGTCTCGATTTATTTAGAGTTGAGTTGCCTAAAGTGTTAATTTATAGACTTGAGTGCATGCACTAATGATTTGTGTAACGATATGTGGACTTGTTTACTGTTGTGCAACCTTGTTGTATGTAATACGTCCCCATTGTATGAATGATTTTCGGGACTCCGTGGAGAACCCCACTTGAATAAAAGATCTCAGCGGGACCTCACGTGTTTGTGATTTTTCTATCTTAGAGTCACAATAATGTTTACCAAGACAGAGTAAAACAATACAATTTGTAGACAGGAAGTAGTTTTGAGTTTAATTATAAATTATATTTGTATTTGTTTAGATCTGTTCCATGTAGATCTATGTAGACTTAGTTGATGTTTAGTTAGATATTGCAGACATAAGGATTTATTTACAGCGAATTTTTGTAAAGTATGGAAATGTGAGTTCTGGAATTTTGTAAAATTGTGTTTTGCAAAATTATTTTTAATTTACACTTGGATTTAGTGGAAAATGTATACTGGGATTTTGTAAACATGGGATATAACTGAGATTTTTTAAACATGGGAATGTATAGACTAATGGTTTGTAGAGTTGGGTTAATATATTTTAATGTTTAAAGGTTTTGGTTAATGTTTGCTGTGATTTGGGCTTTGTAGGCGCTATAATTTATATATACTGTGATTAAGTAGATTTTGCATTCATTCCAGGGTTTATGTATACTGGATATTGATAGCTTTGTGATTTATATATAATGGAGTTTTATAGGTTTGATATTTATGTGTAGATGAATATAATGTACATTAGGTTTTATAGATTAGGGTTTTGTAGGTTTGTGTTTGTGTGTATGTAAGAGTTTTTTTCATTGTTTTGTATGAAGAAGATTTGGGAAAACATTTATTGTTATTTTGGTAAACTTTGTCTTTGTACATGTAGACTTGGGTAACGTAAACAGTAGTTTTTGAAATATACATACTGATGATTTATAGACTTGGGTTATGCATAATGAAGTTTTGTAGACTTGGGTTTATGTATATTGAGGTTTTGTAAATTTGGGTCGATGCATACATGATCTGTTTTAGATATGTTGAATTATTAAAAGAAAAAACTTAGACATACTTAGCGACCAAGGTTGATGAATTTGACGCGTGCATTGATTTCTATATTAATGTTTAATAACGGTGTTATGTATATTCTCTAGATTGAAAACCTATAATAATAATTATATAGTAGATGTTATAGGACTGTACATATTTTCATGCATATAAAAATAATATCTTCTTCATATATATCAGAATGATGACAATGGGACAGAATATCATTCTGATGATTTGGATATCCATGATTGGGTTGTCAACACAATATTCCAGTGACCAAACACGTAAGCTCACACATTTCATCTTTCTCTATCAATGTAATACACACTTCTTAAACCTATCCCAATCATAGTCAAAAGTAATCAATAATGGTGATATTTATCGTAGTGTGCTTTTTTGTTGGCTTCAGTAGTATTTGTTCCCAGAGTTTGTATTAGGAGAAAGGTTAACATTGTTGTTCCTCAGGGTACATGATGCACCTTGACAATTTTATCTCTCATTACATATTTAAGGAATGACCACAATATGATAGGAAGTGACGATTTCGCATTGTTGCTTTATTTATTTAATACTTATGCTCCTAACTCATTGTTTTTACTTCATAGAAATCTTTTGTTAATTCTCATATTGTTTGTTACATTTTTCTTTACAGTGTACATCGGAAATGATTGTGAAAACTATAAAATACATCATGTGAATAAGGAGGACACGTACACGATTGTGTGGAACGGTGGCGTGATACCTAATTATTGCTCCATTGGTTTCATTGGCCGTGATGATGGTTACATGAACGAGTACAAGGTCTGTGTAGAGGCAGAGACGTGGAAAGTTCCGAACTGCGGGGCAAAGGTCAAGTTAGAAAAAGGAGTTGTCAGCGTCCTTTCAGAGGTAGTTACACAATATGGCGACACTGTTCTTACATAAAAAAAAACGGATTTATGAACTATCCTACGTTTGTTTTCAAATATACTAGGAAACAATTACTAGATAATATACAATTCCGTTTCGTTTGGTTCGTAACTGGTAAAAGGTTGATAGGTCATTTTAATAATGTATTGAACAAAGTCCTGTTTTATATTTCTATTCATATTTCACTAACTTCTACACGTGAAATAATTCCTGTATTAAAATTTTCACTCTTGTATTCGTTTAATTTGTAGTTTGCCTTATAATAATGAGTAAATCTATATGTATATTTGATCAAAATATTATAAGACTATTTCATGCCCATGGATGTAGGATAGGAAAGTGCAACCAAAGAGGTTTTCAAATTAGGGAAAAACCCGTGCTTTGCCGAGGGTTTTGCAAAATTTGAAAATCCCGAGGGTGGAATTTCCCTATCATACACCCTTGGGCATGGAAGAGTATTTTTCTCTCAATTAGACTACCAGAATAAGCTCAGAGACCATAAAAATGTGTTTCGATTGGCCACCATTTTGAAAATATCAATCTCCTCCTAAGCTTTTTAGACGAAAATGAATCTGTCAGTCAGATTAAGCATACCCCATATTTACAAACAATGAAAGGTAATTACATCTTTCTAACGTATATGCCATGGTAAATATATCATGAAAGGTTTTGATTCCCTCACGTCGCCCTTTCCGCATTGCGGCGTCGGAGATTTCCAAATTCGTGACGCCACGTCATTGTTTGAGCCGTTGTGACGTAACGTCACGTGAAATGATGTGTAAGATAGAAATTTCCTACTCTGGACAGTTCTATCTTACACACAGGGAAATGAGAGAAATATATATGTAAGCTTTATACTCAAATATGCGCCTGCTATAACGTGCACTTATGACGCGGCTACAGGTATTGTTATACATGTAGTACAATCGGATCGTACCGTGTTATGTTAACATAATCCGAAACATCGATTCAAATCTATTACATATGCATATGGTTGGTACACAGCTGTTTTAAGCCGATCAATCTTATCTATGCATTAAGGTCGAGCGTCCCAGTTTCTGTGTTGTATCTTTGCTTCTCATGTCATTGCCACTATTAAGTATATAAAATGAACAAAGAAAACGTATTTATTATAATTGTATGATCCACAAATAAAACAACATAATATGTATCTCTGTAGCTGGGATTCCCTCAAAACTATATATATGGGAACCTTTCCACTACGCTACCAGTAATAAAATTTGTTTATATATTATTGGGAATAATTTGAAGTCATTTTAACCTCTGGAAACATGCACTATATAACTACAGGAATAGCACAAAACATGTTTTGCTTATAAAAAGTCTTGTAATTGCGTTGTTCTTTATTTATGTAAATAAACAGTTTTTTCTTCATTTAAAAAAGCATTTTGAAATTAAATAAGTTTTCCTTTTAGGTTAAGAAATATTCTTATTTGCCTACTGAAGATTAGCACAATCTTAGCCGCCGTACGTTATTTGTCAATTTGGAATTTTCCTGAATATTAGTACGATATAAGTATGACTTCGACCATTGCCAAGTTTGTTAGAATAATTAAATGAGATGTTATTTTAGGACGACGTTTGGTGGTAAACCTGATTTTAAGACAACAATAAAGATCACATAATCAAAAGTATTTTCGCTTTTAGTCAATTGAAATTATATTTTCATTATATAAAGTGTCCTTAGATTCAAAAGTAAAGTAATAAGTGACAAAATAAGGCAAAGAATATCGATTGTTTGTTTATTTATAATAATCGTTTTCCTGATCAATTTTTACGTAAACACATATATATATATATTGTTTACTTTTTAATAAACTTTTATGTTTTAATTAAGTGTAAAGACTTTGTATTTATAAAGAAAAATTAATAAGTTACAAAGAGGGACTAATTTATCTTTGATTATATAACGTGAATCTGTGACAAAACATGGTACCTGCCCTTATTGTTCGTTTCTGAACACAAATAGCCAACTCAGTTTCAAGCAATTGCATCAGCCCTCCTTCTCAGGTAAGTTTGGCTGTGCTATTGTTGTATGTATGATTTGCTGTAAATGATCTACGTTTTATCCAATCAGGTCTATTCCTGCTACCAGTCGCCTTCAAGTTGGTGTGGAGACTCTGATGACTATGTGGATATCATGTTCGAGTCTACACCCACACATTCATCAGGACAGACTGCTGAAATTCGCCTCAAAGTCACAGCCACTATGACATACAATTGTACGTTATGATTCGTATTATTTTGCATACATTTTCAGCTTTCCAACAAAGAAACCCTTCCACGAGTCCACTGTAAATTACAGCATGTCAACCACACACAGGGACAAATTATTACAGTACCACATCGTCAAAACAAAACAATATACAACATATTGTATTAATTTCACAAGTGAGACAGATTTTCTAATATTGAAGAAAATCGGACATGCTTTTCATTTCACTAGTAAAACGTTTTGTTTCATATGTCATTGATTAATCCTCAAAAGTTATATTTCAGTGGTAACAGACAGTACTCAATGATTAAAGTGAAATATATTAAATGTGAAAACATTTCACCCACTTACGGTCTGATTAAAAGTATCTTACAGTCATCATAATGGTTAATTATCAAAAGTGAACATTTTAAGTGATCATATTAATGCTATCTTATGCACTTTCATTGAAAGTTATATTGCAATAAAATTGTATGTTCATAGTTTTAACTATGATATCGTGTGTATCATTTATTGTAATGATGATTGTTAAACTAAATTAAATTAATTGTTAAATTGCTATATTTTAAAATAAGGACATATTTTTATTAATTTCTGTATTTCCAAACATGCAGTAATATGTTATATTTTCAATAGTAAATGTAAGGAAAACTGAGACTATCTTTACACTAGATGTTAGACATCCTAAGATGTGGGACATGGGTATCCCACCCTGTAAGTCTCCTTTCTCTGTTGCATGACACTATATGTTAGACATCCTAAGATTTGGGACTAATAAAATCTTTCACCCTCTTGGGGTGAGATGGGAGAATCTCAACCCGAGGGGGAAGATTCTTAAGTTGCCAAACACGATGCTTTGTCGAGTGTTTGGCAACTTAAGAATCTTTTCCCGAGGGTTGAGATTCCCCTGTCTAACCCACAAGGGGGTGAATGATTCTTTTCTCTTACCCTGTTCTCCCATTGTGTATCATACACACAATGTAACGAAAACGTTACATGCTAAATTCAAGGTTGACGTGACGTTGATGGATTGTTGACGTGACGTCATTGTATTGTTGAAGTGACGTCATGCCATTGTTATAAATAGGGGACCCCACCCCCGTCTCAACCCTAGGGTGAGACAAGGAAATCTCACACCGGTAAAAGTGCGGATGCATCTGTCCAGGGTAAGAGAAATGGGTATCCCACCCTGTAAGTCTTCTTTCTCTGTTGTATGACACTATATGTTAGACATCCTAAGATTTGGGACATGGGTATCCCGCCATGAAAGGTCTACTTTCTCCGTTTTTCCCAATACTTTAAACACAAACTGCCTTATCAGATCTTATGTTGCAGTCCGTTTTGATGCCTGTAACGATTTGTTTCTTCTATATTGAAAACGTGCTGTTTATTACAAAAATGTACCATTTCACTTACAGACACAATGACCATTGGTCTCGCAGTCGGCGGATGTGTTGGCGGTTTGTTTTTCCTGATACTCGCCATAGTGCTCATTTCAAGGGTCAGAGCCCGACGACTTTCACCTGTAATTCTGACATCAGGTAAGACAATAATCTGTAATTCTGACCGCAGGTAAGAAAATGATCTGTAACTCTTACCACGATAAGACATTCATACTATGACTTGAGGTTAGACATTATCCTGCAGTTCTGAACTCTGACATTCACTCAATAATCTTATCTCTAGTAAGATGGTAATCTTTACTTTTATCACAGGTGACACATTGTAGCTATGTATATGCCAATTCATTTTTGATTACATCCTTTTATCGATTGGAATTGAGAATTGTGTATGAAAACACCCTTTTTTTTGTTACATCTGTGGTAGTCGCTACCCTTAAAGAATAAACAACGACATATTTTATATATAATAACATTAGATATACTTTTTTAATAAGTCATTACATTTTCATCGTTTAAACACGAATAAATTGTTCCCTATGAAAAAATGATAAATGGTTGTGAAAAAAACTTTTATGTGGTCCATTGTATTTTTAACCAATTAAATCTGTCGTTAAATCCTGGCTTGTTGCCTGTAATTGGTATGGATATAGAAATATCTCCCTCACCTCAGGATTAGTTCACTAACAGTTCATTACCAAACTATATCAGAATCGAAATCACATCGATGTTAGTTAGACATCTTAATGTAAGAAAGGAAATTCTTGAACTTATTTCGTTAATATTGTTGTTGTCTATAGGTAAAACATAATTTCAAAACCATTTTGCTGTCCCCACCCAATTTTCAAATATATCGAGATTATCATCAGTTATTTAGTTCTGTTTGATAGAGTGGGATATTGGAAATAAATGTTGCAATATGTAAAGAATATATAGCGATATTTATTAAATATATTGGTTATGTAATATTATGTATTCATCTGTATGATCAATCATACGCTTCGTCCACAGGAAATACAATACCTAAAATTGATGTCTATGTAAAATTTAATTTTGTAAAAACAATCATACACCATAATTGTTTTGTGATATCTTGCGTTACCTTATGGCTGTAAATTGTATTTTTATAATTAACAGTAGCTATTTCATATCATTGTAGACTATTTTGCTATCTATAAATGCTGATATTGATATACCTATTTACAAAGACATTATATTGTAGTAATCCTCATTATATATGACTGATTCCTGTGTTGAAAGTCGGGCAATTTTGAGAATATATTAATCTGAGACGTTCACAAAATGTAAATCAATTATCTTTCCAGGGTTCAAAAGTAATTCGATCGTCCTTAATGAAAATTCATAGTGTCATTGTGCAGTAATAATGTTCGCATCTCTTTACTTTATAAGGTTATAGCGCGCCCACACAAGCACAGGGTTTGAGAAACCCTGTCATGTATTCAAACACAAGCGGAAGCTATCCAGACAGTTTCAAACCACCTCCCTCGTACGAAAGTGTGATGAATACCTCTCCTTACGCTCCGCCACCAATATCGACAAACCCACCCGTGAATGGATCATAAAAAACAGTGTCGAGGAAATAGACATGCAAATATAAATCCAATATATAATGCTACACAATTCAATCTGAGAAGTTTTTAAATCCAACAGAAGAGGACTAACTGAACGTCTGCCTTGACAATGGCTGTGAAGTTTGTGTGATTTGTTGAAATTGTTTTACCTATTGTTGTGTTGAATACATTGTTTGTAAATTATATAGAATTATTTGTTAATGTCCATCACTGATACATGTTCTATGTTTGTATTGCCACTAAAAGTAATCAATATATTTCATAAATTAATGCTATGGCTACGATGTAAATAATGACTGTAGTTGATGAAGAAACTGTAATTACATTGCGACACGTTGAAAATGTAAAATATATGAAATGTTTCAAGAATTTAAGATTATAACATGAATATGAAATCCGTTATATTTTTGTACTTTGTTTTTCTTGTGAATGTCATGTCCTGTGTACCATAACTTAATCCTGTTTTTCAATATCAATTTACCTTTGTTTGAAATATTTAAAAATATATGGTCGTTTTTTCAAATATAACTCCACACAATGTTTTTGTTTGAACATCGACGTGTGTATCGTAATTTTCTCGCTAACTGTACAAAAGAAGACTGAGCAATCAAAAGCATGATTATTTTTCAAAATGTTAATAATTTTTAATTTTTAATCATATTTTTATCACTGTGACTCTACTATATACACTACGCAGGATTCGACAAAAATGGAAGATTCCATTCAAATGGGTAACATGGACTAAATTATTAAATGATGAGGCATTCGAAGGCCACAGAAGAATGAATTTATTGAAAAATCATAGGTGTTTTATTTGAAAATATTAATTAAAACACATAATGGGAGCTTACTGTAACACATATCAGAGCAACGTATAATGTGTCTTATATCCTTAAGGGAGAAAACTCTATCAAACATAATAAGCATAACGTGTTAGAAAGTGCATATCAACTCATTAGTAAACAATGTTTTGTAGATTATATCATTTGTGCGTTTAACTATAAACCAACTCACAGATAACATATTATAGGTGGTATTTATATCCTTAACTGCGACAAACTTAACACTAATCCCGGTTATAATGTAATAACTAACACGATGACAGGTTAAGTACATCTTAACGACATGTTTAGTTTTACATGTATGAATCAGCTACATTGTGTATGTCAATATATATATATATAAATATATAACTTAAATAAATGAGGCACGCAGTTCAGTTAAATATATAAAAACGTGACATTGCTTTATATTCATATTTACAATTTTCTTTGGCGTATATTGTCAATAGCTGACCAATCTAAATACAATGGAATACCTTTCATCACCTGGGTTCCGATCGTTTTTATCGTTTAATATATCATACAAGGTTGTTTATTCATATTTGTTAATTTCCTGTTGATAACAAGTATTAATCAGTGTTGTTATGAAAAATACTAAGAAATGGAATTAATAAAAATTTGCTCTAAAAAGTGCAACTTCTCTCTTCTTCCAGCAAATATTTGACGGAAAGTCACTTTCTATCTTTTTTATTTGGTGGAAATCCTATTGCAATTTGAAATATTTTTGATACTCTTTATCAGAAACAATATCAAGTCTTAAAAATGTTAATGTTTAGCTACAAGGCATCTTCTGTGAATGGCGAGTATTCCAGCAACGGTTTGTTCAAGTTTCGAAAGTCATGCGAGTCTTTGAAAAGAACATATCCAACCTTTTTATAGACACTGGCACAGGTCTGGTCTATGTAATCAAGGTGCAAAACATTCGTTTTAATTCTCCAATTGTATGCTATTTTTCGTGAATTACCCCGCTTCGAGCACCAAATGCATCTATCTCTTTTACCAGGAGCACCCGATGTTAACGAGCGAATAGAAAGCATAATGCTATTAGTAAAATTAATATTTAAGTATTCAAAAATTCGACCAGACGTCTCTACAGGTCGTCTGGCTAACGTCTCGTACAAAAGAAGACGAATTCTGTCTGGATATTTTTGTTTAAGTTCACTCATCATGTTAGTATCTACCATCATTCTGTCACATGTTTCCTTCGCTAGCGTCATGACAGCGCCCCAGTTTTGACCATAAGCCATGATTTGAGAAGACAGCTTTCCTCGAGGATCCCTAATCAAGTATATGACTTTCAGGTCCGGTAACCGCTGTAATAACAGATTCACAGATTCCATGGCCATTCGTATGGTTTTAACGATTCTTAAATCACTCCTGGCACACGGTTTTTCTAACAAGGTAATACATCTCTTCACGGCTCTTATTGTTGTTTTATTGTCATGAATACATTTGGCGTAATTTTTCGATGTCAAGGAGAATGATCCCAAGAACTGGCTAGTCAGGTCTTTGATGTTGATAAAGCGAAAGTCACAAGTTAACCATCTGTACATCATTTCAGCATGGATCCATACTTTCTGCTGCTTGCGAATCCCTCTGTGGTATTAAAACAAAGACGCTAAGGTAAAATGAAGACTCTCAATATATGATACATATTTGGAGAATAGCGGGTAAAACCCAAAGATCAGAATAAGTCTCGACAAAAACCAATAACCAACTAACCAATATGTTACCATAAACGGACTATATGAATTAATCTGTGTAATTTAATTTACTGAATTTTAAAGATAAATAGCAATATATAGAGGCAAAATTAATCGGCTTTGTGCTAATCAAGTTGGTCAAAATGGTTTCATTTGCTGATTCCTGGCTATTATTAGGCGTCATCTTTGATTTTTAAATATGGCACCTACTTTGGCAAATTAAGATATGTTTTAACATGGAGCGTTGTCCACGATCTTAGTGTCCCAAAACTGAATAGAGATCACACACTGTAACCATTTATTGGTTAAACAATAAATCATCTGTTAATACATCTTATTTCTCCTTCCCCAATCAATGAAATAAACGGATTTATTTGTTAATTTTCATTTTTTATTTTTGCGTTTGTATCGTTTTCTTTCAACGGAAACGATATAATAAGTGTGAGTTTCTTAAGTATAATTTGTTGTCTTTGACCAGTGAAAAAAAAATTAAAACAGAAAGATTATACTGCATGATCTTAAATTATTATTCAAACATGATTTTTCAGTAACAAGTGATAACGTACAAAGGTGAATTAAACTATACAGCCATACATCATGAGAAAACCAAACCTGAATGACGAATCATAATGAAAGCAGGAAGCAAACACAAAAAGAAGTCATTGACCCTTATATAGAGACTGACTTTTAAGCGTTGGATAACCATCAGATTTTCTGTAATGATTTCGGACATGTCCATTTAAAAAAGGTGACCAAGGGTTTACTCCGACGTGTGGAGTAAGTACAGAGCAACAATACTTTTACTTAATCGTACGAGCATAAATAGTATAAAACAGTTCACTTGCATGTTGTCTTCACTACCGTTGTATGTTACCTCAGCTGGCTCAAGCTTAGTGCAAATATATATATATATATAATACTTTTCTGTAGAATTTGACTTACTAGTGATGATCCTGAATAGGTCAGAAATTCATATGTAGTTGAAAATTAAAAAAAAAAATCAATTCGTGAAATATTGCCAGGTAATTCATTTTTCATTCTCCCATGCCAAACAGGTAGAGAAAACGTATCCCAACGCCATTTTATTCCAAACATCAATCAAATAGCAGTCTGATATACATAGATGAAGTTATTTGTAATATTTATTATTAATTAACTACTTGCGCATTGACAATAATATGAGAAAACTGACCAATCAATATCATAACAAACTGGGCCAATATGGGATAAACTGGGCCAATATCGAAGAACTGGGCCAATACGGGATAAACTGGGCCAATATTGATAACACGCCAATCGAATGCACGCCATATTATTCTGAATATTTCTAGACTTATCGGCGATGACATGTTAGCAGTTTAATGCATGACATTACTAGATAGGAAGTGTTTAGCGAGTTAAGCCAAACATTGCTTCATGATATATTAGTAGTACATACTCAATGGTGAATTCTGAACTACAAGATTGTCTGCCCTTTTCCCTGTAAGTGGTGCAAATATATCAGGAGGTACCATAAATATCAATGTAATGCCTCCCCAGAAAAAAGCGAAGTACAGTCAGTCCGAGTATAGTTCACAAGAAAAAACAGCTGAACAATATTTTAAATTAATTGTTATTAAATTTGTTGAATTTAATCACTTTAGTTTTTGTTAATTTAAGATTATTGCCAAGTATATACAAGTAGTAAATTAATAAAAGTGTCATTAATCAGCTAATTCCATATTGGCAAAGTTATTAGGCCTCGGTCTGTCACATTGGCCCTCGGCCTGCGGCCTTGGGCCAATATGACAGACCTTGGCCTAATAACTGGTCCAATATGCATTAGCTAACTAATAACCCTATAGTATATACCAATGTATGTTATATATGTTGAGAGGATTTGAAGGAAGTGAGATTAATTAATATAAATATATATTGACAGGATTTGAAGGAAGTGGGAGGGTTTGATATAACTATATATCAAAAGGATTATAAGGATGTGTGAGTAATTAATATGGCTATATAATGAGATGATTTATTTATAGGAATTGAGAGTGATTCCTATAACTGTATATTGAAAGAATTTTACGGATGTTTGAGTGATTATTATGACTATTTATTTTGTCAGGATCTTTAGGAAGTGATAGTGATAAATGATAAATATGGCTTTATATAAACAGGATTTTAAGGAAGTAAATGTGATTAATATGGCTTTATATAGACAGGATTTTACGGAAGTAAAGATGATAAATAAGGCTTTATATAGACAGAATTTTAAGGAAGTAAAGGTGATTAATATGGCTTTATATTGACAGGATTTTACGGAAGTAAAATTGATTAATTTGGTTTTTATATAGACAGGATTTTAAGGAAGTAAAGGTGATTTATATGGCTTTATATTGGAAGGATTTTACGAAAGTAAAGGTGATTAATAAAACCATATATTGACAGGGTTTTAGGGAAGTGAGAGTGATTTACATAACTATATGCGAACAGGGTTTTAGGGAAATGAGAGTGACTTTACATAACTATATGCGAACAGGGTTTTAGGGAAGTGAGAGTGATTTACATAACTATGTGAGAAAGGGTTTTAGGGAAGTGAGAGTGATTTACTTAACTATATGTGAACAGGATTTTAAGGAAGTGAGAGTGATTTACATAACTATGTGTGAACAGAATTTTAAGGAAGTGAGAGTGATTTACATAACTATATGTGAACATGGTTTTAGGGAAGTGAGAGTGATTTACATAACTATATGCGAACAGGGTTTTAGGAAAGTGAGAGTGATTTACATAACTTTGTGTGAAAAGGGTTTTAGGGAAGTGAGAGTGATTTACTTAACTATATGTGAACAGGGGTTTAGGGAAGTGAGAGTAATTTACATAACTATGTGTGAACAGGGTTTTAGGGAAGTGAGAGTGATTTACATAACTATATGCGAACAGGGTTTTAGGGAAGTGAGAGTGATTTACATAACTATGTGTGAAAAGGGTTTTAGGGAAGTGAGAGTGATTTACTTAACTATATGTGAACAGGGTTTTAGGGAAGTGAGAGTAATTTACATAACTATGTGTGAACAGGATTTTAGGGAGGTGAGAGTGATTTACATAACTATGTGTAAACAGGGTTTTAGGGAAGTGAGAGTAATTTACATAACTATGTGTGAACAGGGTTTTAGGGAAGTGAGAGTAATTTACATAACTATGTGTGAACAGGATTTTAAGGAAGTGAGAGTGATTTATATGACTTACAAGTACCTTGTGGTGCCGTTATAAAAGCGCACAGTTCGAGCCTTGTCGATATCTTCGTCTATGTAACGCAGTGGTTCGAACACGTAAAAGCTGCCTGGGTGATGCTGAAGGATGTCGCCTGTCAGTGTAGAACCACTTCGCATGTAGGTAAAGATGAGGACGGGCACACTTGTATTACGTAATTTAACTTTGTATGTTTCTGTAAAAGTAAACTCAAATATTTCAATATATCAAATAAAAACTTTCTCGCCACGAAAAACAGGAAATGGAAAACAAAAGAAATGCATCACCGAAAGAAAGTCATCGGAACCCCGACTCCTATCCCCTACGTAAGGCCGATTTCCAATTGCACCCTCCAACACCCAAACATGAGTAAAAAAATCCTAACAAAAAGGAAGTAACAAAATACTCCAGTAATTTTCGCATGAGAATAAATCTTCTTAACCCTAACTCAAACTAGGACTCCAGTTAACATCCTTCCCCCTCCACATACTCTCAATCTCCAGTTGCTACTACAAAGCAAAAAATGAAAAAGAAAGAAAATCTCTGTCTCGAGATTCTCTCAACGCCCAGTTTAATAACTGAAGCTCCTCTAACCCATGAATATATACAAATCTCCGTCTCCTTCAGGAACGTAATCATTTAATCATTTTCTATTTAAAGTGGAAATTTATACAAGATAATTTTTCATTTTTTGAAATTTGCAAAAACACATTTTTTTTGTCATTTTCTTAAGTAAAGTTTTCCGGTTTTGACACTTTTACCATTGTCTCCATTGTGACGTCATGCTTTAATGTGGACATTATTTTATTTATCATTTAATGACGTCACACTTTGTCATATTTTATAAGCAAATACATGATATGCTTGCATTTCTTGAGTTATACGGTAATCATGTCATAAAGCGTTTTATGTTGTATAACAGACACTAATGATAGGCATAGTGTGTATGATACACTTTGTATAATTCGAAATCATTTACATCAAGGCGCTTTACAGCTAAAAGAATACAGATAACTGATATCGGTAGATTTATAACAATACACACAAACACACGATTGTCTTACCTGTACTTGTAGATAACCGAATCTTGAGAGGCCCCACCCGAATAAATCCATCATGACGGACGGTGAGGAGCATGGTGAACACAAAAAGTACAGTAAATGTCACCAGGAGCATAAAACATGTCCTAAACATTACAAAATCCATCACTGTGACGAAGGAAAGGTCTTATATACATACGGAACAAATACAGAATAGTGTGCGCACATGTTGTTCTGAAGAAGAAGCAGATGTTGAGTCACAAATCGTGTTTATTTTACAATTAAACATTCGCTTGAGAGTTCAGTCTAGTAATTTTATAATTACATGTAATTAGAATGTTACCACACGGATATGTACGTAGATTTTAGACTGGTAGTCCCACACAGGTACATTTCGACAGAATGCCTTCTAAGTGTATTCTATCCGACCCTACGGAAGACTACTTCGGTGTGTATAATATGCCAGGCGGGTAGTAATGATTAAATCAGCTGATAATTATATTATCTTCTCCTAAATCAAAGCCTATTGTACCGACAAATCAATGCTAGTTAATTTAATGATTGCCTCTATTCTTCTTAAAATTCAACGTACATGTATTTGCTAGCAAACAAACTTCTTTATAACTAATATATCTATATTGGCGTGTGTATACATATAAACCTTATATTTATTTCAATGTTATTAAGTTAATGTTTCACTTCAAATCAAATGTTCCCTGCACGTTCGGGAACTTTATAAACTAATATGATACTGTAAAATTGTTTATTTTTTGTGTGGCTTTAATTTTATCGATATTACAATAGGAGGTTTTCCGCGAAAAACGTGTTTTTTTCGGAAATTAACAGAAATGCGTGAATTATAACATTTGAAGCACACACTAATATTATTATTTGAACATACGTGAAAATAAGAACTCGCGAACATTCCCGTAGTATTAAATCCACGCAAATTAAGACCGTCAGAAACACGTTGGACCCGCTAATCATGAAAGCACTGCAAACACAGTTTGATAAGTTGTTTTAATAAATGTATGTATAACGTTTAATTGCCCTTGAACTTGCTGATTTCAGTTTTTTAGATTATCAGCTAAGAAATATTTCTTTATTTTTTTAATTTCAAGAATTATTTTTCTTATCCAACAACATTGCTGCATTTTAATAATATAATCAATTTTTTTTTTTTTTTTGTGTATAAACGTTGCAGACCAAAATGTCTTTGGTTGAAATATGCACCAATAATATGTGATTGTTGGGTCAAAATACAGAGCAGTCAACAGCAGAATGCCGTAATGAGCTCAAGTAAGATATATTATCAAAGGAAATCATCTCAAAAGTATTCCCATTGCATGTCATTTTTCGAACACGTGTTTCAACATTTTTCAGAGTAATTTTGAGATTCTATTTGGTTAAATGCTCAATACAATCAGGTTAAATTACATATTTTCAGAATATTCAGACCAATAAAATCAAAGGAAAACACCAGTGCTGCCTTCACTATGACGTTGTGATGTCATTGTATTGTTTCCTCTTACGTCACAAGGAGTGACATTACACATGTCACGTGTCGAAAATAAATCTGATCGGGTTATCAGCAACCTGAAGATATAATGAATTTCGTTTATAAAGCACCATTTGTAAAACTTGTTTGAGCAATTAACGGTTTTGCTACATTTCGTATTTCTTCTGGAGGGAATATCGAAATATATCCGACTTTCCTATAAAGAAAGTAGCACTGCCTATCTATCAATGCCACTAGACCTAAATCTATAGTAGACCTCCATAAATAAGCTCTAGACCTCGAATTAGTTCTTTTTGTACACCAAGTACAATCATCACTTCCTCCCGATTGAGTAAATTCTCGAACTAAACCAATGGTTGAATTCGAAAATTCCATATTTAAAAAATTGTAAATATTCTTAGTAGTCTCAATTGGAGTTGTTGCAAGTTTTTCATACAATAAGACTCTGATTCTGTTAGGATAAAGAGTCCTCAGGTAGTCGGTAACTCGTGTGTCTGTTGTAATACCTTCACATGTACGGGTGGCAAAACCAACGAACGAAAGCACTGCTGACATCCTAGCACCTAATTCAGACGCCATTTTGCCACGTGGGTCCCGTAGAAGGTGAATTATTCTCAGTTCTGGTAGCCATTTCATCAACATGATTGCAGATTCCATCTTCATTCTTATAGTTTTGACGATCCTGACGGTGGCGTTGTGACACTGATTTCTAAGTATGGTGATGCAGATGTTTATGCTCAATAACTGTGTCTTCAGGCACTTTGCATATTTGGATAAATTATGGGAAAATGTGCCAATAAACCGACTCTGTATGTCCTTAATATTGATATTGTCAAAATCACAGGTCAACCAGCGGTAGACCATTTCGGCGTGGATGGTTGTAACGTCAGAAATATTCAGATATCTGAAAAATAAAAAAGGGTTAAATTAAAAAATACACAAAATTTTAGATAAAATACAACAAAATATGCGCACAATTGATAATATATCTAAAACATTCCGGATTTCAAGAAAAAGAAAACAATATTAAAGAGAACTAATTAGACAATGAGACAAAAAAGAACATAAAATAACCCTCAAAATATGACAGGCGCAACCAAGTGTAATACTAGGGTAAGAAATTCATGCATCACCTTCTTCCATTAAATAGATAGTATGGAGCTAGGTCTCTAAGGATCTACGGTCCAGCGTGAACAAGTCTCTAGTCTCTGCAGAAACATTGATGGAACTGACGTCATGAGAAATAATCAGTTGTGAAATGTTAACTCCTGTACTTAACAGGAATATTCAGGAAAGAAAATCTGACAATCATGGAGTTAAAGGCCCACTAACGCACTGTAAGTTAACTTCAATTATTCATTTTGATTTAATTACGATAAATAAAAATGAAGGAAAATGTATGCATACTTGTTATTCTAAATTTCCTTTGAAAGCGTGTACACACTGTTAAGCGTGACACACATCTATTTTGTACAATTATACTAGCGTTTCTTTGCGTTTTGCTATTGCTGTACAATTTAAGCGTAAATTATGTACAATAGATGTATTTTTGTCGTATGTGATTAATACGAGTTAATTATTGATGAATTCGGTTATAGTTGGGATTTTTTATACTTCTTATCTTCCATTGGCTTTGAATAAAAGATGCACACTCCTGAAGAGTCTAAACATATCGAAAATTTCCAAGATGTCTACACTTTGTTTCGTCTCCAGTGATAGGCTTTACCAGACTTTACGTAACAAGATGGAAGTATTTCTGACACTGTCGGGTCGAGGTTCGACACTCACTACGATTCATAACAATACAATCAGTTAACCGCTGAGGCGAAACAATTCATGCATAAATCAATATACCAGGATTAATAATAAGTTTCGGTTGGTTTTCATACGTCCTCTTTTAAACACAAGGACATGGCGTTGGTTCTGGCATATTATCAATTCAATCTTGTATTCTATAAAACAAACGAAACGAAATTAATGTAGATAATAAATTATGTATAGTAATATATACATACAATAAAACCTCGTTATATTGCCGCCATTTGTCCACAGAAATATAGGCATTATAAAGGGGATTGGCAAATAAGTGAGGGAATTGTATAAAAGAATTCTTAAGAAAACAAGAAAAAAAGGATATTAAGATATGATGGTGGTTAACGGGTGGCAAAAGAAACGAGGGCCTTTATATCGAAATTAAACTGTATTTAATTTGCTTCTATAATTATCATGTCCTAATTATAAATGTATTGCCAAATACAACAGAGCAAATTCTACCAGAGCAACACAAAGGGTAACACTTGTAACACCAAATCGATAGGGAAAACAACATGACCATATTAGAAAAGAAGTAATAGCGACAGTGCAGGCATGGGAGTAAGTCAAATTCTTGAGACACTTCATCAAAACAAAACATGAATAATAACATATCACAACATACAACACAACGATAATAAGACACTATGAAACAAAGCTACATCACAACAGTAAATCAGTAATTACTTGAATAACACACTGGTGTTAACGCCTATCACCTCGACACGCTGATTTAACCAAAGACTGTTTACATTTTAAAATTTCGAATTAAAAAATCTGAAGATTGTGTATTCAATTTCATTTTGTATCCATTGAACAATTTATCTATCTTGAATACACAATCTTACGATTCTTGATTATTCCAGCGTGCCGAGGGAATATGCGTTAACTTAAGCATATTATATAATTGATATCATTTTCCCCACGAGATTTGGAAGAGGAGGTTAGATTGTTTTAGACTGTTTAAACATACCTTGTTGTGCCATTGAAGAAAGAAATGTTTTTCCCTTTATTCACATCTTCATCTATATATCGAAGGGGCTCAAACGCATAAAAGCTGTTTGAATGATGCTGTAGGATATCTCCGAGTAGTGTTGATCCACTGCGCATATACGTCAACACAAGAACCTTCCGGGTGTGTGGTGCCTTCTGGGATACATCACTAGTTATAAGGTGCCTGTCTGATAAATAAATATGATAATTACTCGTTGAATCTTACTACAGTTTTAAAACATGTTGTCAGACTAGGAAACAGAAGGTTTCGTATTTCATACTACAGTAATATAAGGTTTGGTTAGTCGACAGTACTCCCTTTTGGCTGGAACTCAGACGAACATAACAGGTATTGACAAAGTGTGTAAATAGGGTCTCCTTGATTATCAAGCCAAATCTAGTTCTTTAGCAAGCAAACGATTGAACAGAGTACAAGGACCAGTAGAAGTTGTTCCATCATCATCATCATCATCATAATTATCATCATCATCATCATCATCATCATCATCATCATCGTATCATTTCACACAATTAAAAAATATTATTTCCTTTACCCCGTACCAATGAAAAAAACAATAACCAAGCATACTAAAAGTGTTTGTATGGTTTTAGCTTCGATAAATTGCTTCTGATAAGCCATACCTTGCAGAGCTTTTATGAAGAAATTTTGAAGATGAAATAAATAAAACATTATTAACAGTGTTATGTGTGCAAACATTCAACTGGGCTATATTAACGGTTGCTACTGTGTATAAGTAAAACCACGACGGAATTCTCTAGTGTGTTAAATGCAGTTGGACCGGTGATCCTTGATTGGAAACTCACGATCAAAGGGATAATACAAACACACACATATATATATACACACACACACATCAGCTGTAAGTATTCTGTAAAATAAAGTGAAAACAAAATCAAAACACTGGCCAGTGTGGGGGTCGAACCCACGACATTCGCGTTATTAGCACGACGCTCTAACCGACTGAGCTAACCGGCCGTCTTGTAAACGGTGATGGATATATTTGAAATGTATATAGTTGTAGATGATTTTGGTCATGAAATGATCTTTTTTGATATTTTCCATATCAAATCTGGCCTTGTCTGCGCTCTAGTTTTTGAGACAGAAACATCTATTTCACTTCGATCAATTCTGATTAATACCACGTAAACAGATATTTATGCTTACCGAATAGACATTTGTTGTGCATATACAAAATCAGACATTGATAAGTGTAACATAATTTTACATAGATACACATACGTGGTTATCTATAAAGGTGTAAAGTTCACGCTCCAATACACAGTTATGTACATTGTATGACTGCCTCGGTACTGCCGTACTGACTCGCCACTTATAAACTACTGTAGGCTTATAGACATTGTCACACTGGTAAATGTAAGAGTTTTTGGTTGTCAACACGAGCCTTGGTTATCATTCTTCTAAGATGCAGGTTGTAGTAGGTGATGGCGGCAAATGTGATCGAGCGAGGGATTATCGCTGTTGTGCTGTATCAATGTTACACGTAACTAATGTTGGAGATGGTCATTAACTCATTACAGTTGAATCCCATCTAGAACACCTGGTAAACCACTTTCAACAAAAAAGTCATAGTATGAATCACATTCATTGGATGTTTTGACTTTTCATCTAAAAGCTTTTTGCATAATGTGCATGTTTGGTCTTGTAAAATAATCATCTATCTGTCATGATCAGTTGCTCCCAACAACACGAGTGCTATTTCAACCATCAACATTTGTGTGCAACACACTTCACCTAAGTATCTGACTGCCTTTTATTTCCAAGCTATTGGTACTCGCCTTTGCTTACCACCTTATCATTACTACAGTTCTGTTATCTCATCAAACATCTGAACAAGGAGGTGATCGGGCATTAGAAAAAGACTGAAGCTAACTACAACAACAACACAACTAACCTCTACTAATCTCAAAGGACGGAGATAACAATCACAATATATGATGACTACTTTTCCGAAGAGACAATGAATTCCTATCGGAAAGTTAACGTGTTAATCGCGTATAAGTTACCACGTTGTATCTCACGCTTAAAGAGAATGGAACATTTTAAATCCAAGGGAAGCGACTATTTACGATAAAAAATCCACACTGTAGGACATAGCAAACGCTTCAATGATGTTTTTTCTATTACTAATAAACAACAACAAATACTAAATCTTGGCAGTAAATATATTATGGCGCCTGTGACGTACCAGGACTGAAAGAATATTGCTAAGTACTAATGAGCTATTGATCCAGAATATCAGGCCGAAACATGCATATAATGAAGACAGCTATCAGATGACACAGACCATAGGTAATGATATGCTGACTCGCTGTCATTGCCAGGAAAATTCTAGAAGTAATTTAACTGTACACGTATATGGACCAATCTCTCTAACATTACGTTACAGCGCTGCCAATCACAGTAATACAATAAAAGTACGTACACCATGAACTGACCCCTGGCTTATTTTATTCCTTGCATATTGTTGCTGAAACATGCCGCTTGAAGAATAACAACAATCGCCTGAGGTGAAAACCAGAAGAAAGTGTTACACTTATCAGAGTGGATATGAGTGTTGAAGATGCATATCAAAATGCTATCGACACACATTTTAAAAAGAAATTTTACAAACGGACGGATAAAAAATGAAAACTGATTCTATGCTCTTCTCCTGTTTACTTTAAACGTTATTAAATAAATTTATTTCTTTTTCATGTAAAAATCTTAAAGTTTGTTCCGTATTTTGAGATTATGAAACGAGCCTATTTGTTGTCTCGCCCGAATTAGTTTCATAAACCCTATATGAAATGGAGACAAAAGTAAAATTATGTTTGCACAATAACCATGATTTGTTGCAAACATTCATGAAAACAACCTTTTTTCGTGTTAAAAGAAAGTTATGCACATTTTGATTCCAAGCATATTGCATTTGTGACATGACAATATGCAATAAAGAACCTCTGATGCAATCAAGTTGTCCTAGTTGTGACGTCACGAATACTGGAATGGGAATCGTGCAGTACATATATGTCATAGCTCCATTAGGTGTAATTTGACATATAAATAACACAGATCAGGTGTTATATCAATGAAAACAGAGCAGTCATATGAATAACCCTGAAAATCACGTATAATGTAAAACTTACCACCGTCATATCCCGAAAGTTTCGAACCTTTCCAATTGTGGACAAGTTTGTTGCTGTTTTCTAAAAGTGTGAAGATGCTCAGGATGCCACAGGCCATAAACAGTGTCAGCGATATGAAAGATTTGTGTAATTTGCTCAGTTCCATCGTAGCCATTTACAGACAAAATATATATAAAACAGCATGGGCTTAGAGCGTCGAACACCCGAACGAGACATGACGTAGACGTGTTAAAGGTTAAAGTTCATGTTGAAGACAGACACAACGTGAAGTCAATGCTTTTGTATATCGGTGACACATTTGACGTAGTTAACACTTTGTACATTGTAGCGGTCTGTCACACTAGCTTCACACATCCAAAAGGCATTAGTACTGCTTAAGTGCCTTATATCTATAAGTTCATTTGTTCCTAATTTATTGTAAAGTTTAGTGTTCTATCACATTGAGAAAAACAGTATTCCTGCTCTTGTGTTTTAATTAATAAGAACTGTTTGGTCGCAAAAATGCTCATAGACATTTCGATGTGCATGTAGTGTATAGGTGTGGAATTGACTATGTTATTCGCTAGAAATACGACTCAAGGAATCACCTATCTAAAAACTAAGTCTATTGATGCAGAAAGCCAAACAAATTCAATATATATATATTTTGTATTTACGACGTTATGTATGCATGGAGCAACTTATATATATGTGTTTTGAAGTATGTTGAACAAAGCCGCGCCCTAAAACATGTGAGGATATATCAATGATGTGATCCAGGAATTTAAATATTGATTATCCATTTAAAAATTCATGCAAACGATAATTCTATACTGCAATGTAAAGACGTCGTATTGTTAGCACGATTTGTAACGTCGTATTGTTAGCACGATTTGTAACGTCGTATTGTAAGCGCGATTTGTAACGTCGTAGTGTTAACACGATTTGTAACGTCGTATTGTTAGCTCGATTTGTAACGCCGTAGTGTTAACACGATTTGTAACGTCGTATTGTTAGCACGATTTGTAACGTCGTAGTGTTAGCACGATTTGTAACTTCGTAGTGTTAACACGATTTGTAACGTCGTATTGTTAGCACGATTTGTAACGTCGTATTGTAAGCTCGATTTGTAACGTCGTAGTGTTAACACGATTTGTAACGTCCTATTGTTAGCACGATTTGTAACGTCGTAGTGTTAACACGATTTGTAACGTCGTATTGTTAGCACGATTTGTAACGTCGTATTGTTAGCACCATCTGTATTTAACGTCATATTGTTTACACCGTCTGTTGTTGATGTCATATTGTTAACACCGTATTGATAACACCGTCTGAAGTTGACGTCGTATTATTGACACCGTATACAGTGACAGAACCTGCATCGGTTGTTTTTTCTTATTTTTTATTTAAGGATCCCTGTAACCCTGCCAAAAGGAAAAAATAGGTTTAAAACTCTAATTACGTTGTGGGAATGAAATCATACCTAAAGGTAATTTAATGAAAAATTATAAGCATAAAAGAGGGAAAAAAATGAAATCAACAACAATGTTCCGAGTGTAAAATGTCACAGGACAATATCAAGATTGTAACGCTGGGCCATCGATAGACATATTATCGCTCTCACAAAATAAGTTTCCTGGACAATGGTAGTTTACTGGCCATGTCTTACTACAGTTATATCCGAGCAAAATAGCGGAGGTAAAGGGGAGGTTACTCTATGCACGATAAACTACAGCGGAATCCTTAAATATGTCTCCGTTACACCCTGCCTGTGTTCTTTACCGATTTCACCTCCCAATCTCTTTAAAATCGCAGTCTCTCATTAGATGTAGAGTCTCTCCAATGTCAAAAATGCCTAATGAGGTTCTTATTGTTCACACATACGTGTCTTTTGAGAGAAATACATATAGCATGCTGTAGAATACGTATATTTCGCGAGTTATTTATTATTTGCGTAAATTCAAACATCTGTCGGATGTTCATTCAGTCATGTTACAATCAGAAACATACAGTTGTCATTGTTCCTGAATGTGTCGTATGTATACCAATTTTCAGTAGGCATTTGATATTTCAAAAGGTATTGATATTCGTCAATGATTTAAAGTGTATTAAAAATTAAGATCTTCTAGATTCTGAGTATCAACAATAATGACAAAGATATTATTTCATAGATCACATGTATTAAACATGCATTTTATTTGGCACCAGTACAAATAATGGAAATGTTAACATGCGCTATTTGCAACAAACAAAAATCGAATAAGGGGATAAATAGGATTCATGAAACAATCAATCTGCCAAGGTGATACTAAAAGTCGTTCTTTCGTAACGCGTCTTTCTTAAACATTCTCTTAACTATCCTAGCGAACGCACCCGCCCACACAGGCGCACTCATAAATACTCACATGTAAATACACACACGTTTACAAGCTAATACTTTCACACAATACACAATACATCTCCAGCACACACGCAGGCATACCCACATAGGGAGATAGTATATCTAGGTGGCATAGGACAAGAAGTTAGCGCCTGATAAGGCAGCTCTTGCGAATTCACCAAAAGTTGTATTGACTTATGTATATGCTAATTGAATAAATTGTATATCTATGTACTGCAAAGCGCTTTAGAGTGGCGTATGTTAGCTAGATAGGGCGATAATTATTATTATTAATACTTATTAGTCCTTAGACAAGTGTCAAGCTCTAGAGGGACATGTACTTTATCCAAGAATCAACCTGAGATGGGACGGAGAGATTTCTTAGAACTTTTTCATCCTTTATCTCCAAATATCCAGCAGTTTTGTAAAGTGTCCTACAGTTCTGGTCTACTTGTTGAACATCTTTGTGTGACATATGAAGCCGCCATCTTACAGATGTGAGTCTAGCATTAGTCTTTTTCGCACACCAAAAACAGTTATCATGTAAGTCTTTTTGTAAGGTGTGTGTTCTCACATATTTATTCATTTCTATTGTGAAAGTCAAATTCAAAAACATAAAAAGTTTTCTTGCTTTCCGTATTGTATCACTAGCGAACAGCTCATACTGGAGAATTCTTATGCTCTGAGGGAATAGTTTGTATAAACGATCAGCTTCGATAATATCCGAATGCATTTGCCTACACACTGAATCTGCTCGCGACGATATGGAGGGCCATTCCATTCTGGGTTCTACGTTGAATTCTGATGATAGCTTCCCTCTTGGGTCCCGGAGTAAGTGTATCACTTTCAGTCCTGGCAGCCATGTTAGTAACAATTCCACTGACGCCATCTCTAAGCGAATAGTCTTGATTATAAACACTTTACCAGATTCGCAAGGCTGTTTTAATAGTTTCATACATTTATAGATGTACTTCCTTCTCTGTGCCACCGATGCGTGGAGAAGCCTTTTCCTCGAGTTTACACACCTGTAGTATTGTATATAAGCATCTGATCCCTGTAACATCACACTAGTGAGGTCCATGACGTTGATCCTCCTGACATCACACGTGAACCAGCGATACAACATCTCTACCAATACCCAGCTTGAATTATCTCTGTTATAGTATCTGAAAAAATGAATAATTTCATTTTTCACGAAGTTCTTATTTGCAAAATATTTGGAGGAGACATCTAAATGAAATGGTTTTGATGTAAATATGCATATAATGGACAGGGGAACACGAATGGTCAATACAACGATGTGCGTTACATCAATTATCATATATTCAATGCGCCATCAAGGAAAATTTGAGAAAGTAATACACCCGATTCCTGAACCTTTTTGCCTTTTATATCAAATGTTGATACTTTCTAGTCCAGGAGTCGGGTTTAAAGTAATTACCGTGTTGTATATTGGTGATTTATTCTATGATCCCTTTGCCATATCATCAGCACTCTACTGGTTAAAACTCGTGGATGCAATGTACCCAACAGAGATGCACAAAAAACAAGCCAACACAGGCATATTATTTAAAAATCCGTTGTACTGCAATAATTCTTTTGACTTTGTAAGGGATATTTGTCTATATACAGATAGAGATGTTGAATGGAATTGTCAAATCAAAATGGTGATTGAGGACATCATAATTTGTTGGTGGTAAGCGAGGTGGCTAATGCAAAACAGGTGCATAAGACCGGAGATTTATTGAAAACCATAAATAGAATTTGAACTCAGGTTTACAGGGAAAGGAAACAACTTACCTATGTGTTCCGTTTAGAAAATCGATTTGTTTCCCCATCTTTATATCTTCTTCAATATATCTTAATGGTTCAAAAGCGTATGTACTGTTGTTATATTGTTGTAATATGTCTCCAATAAGAGTGGACCCACTGCGCAAGTACGTTACGACTAGGACACGGGTGGGATACTGATCTACAAATATATAAAAGACTTTTACAATATGAGCGTATTCAAATATTAGAAAATAAAAGAGGCTAAAAAAACGTCGGAAAAAGATTTCCGCTTATTAAGCTTTGTTTTATGTTTCAACCATCACTGGGGCTGTAATTTGAACTTCAAAAATAATTTGTCAAATGTTCTTGCGATTTGCAAAAAAAAAAGAAAAAAAAGAACAGAAACAAAAAATAATACACAAAAGCAGGTCCCTCGTTAAAACAAGTGGAATTGCTAAACTGTCACATATGCTAAACCTATTGGTATATGAAATAAATACTTGTATTAAAATGATCAGCAATAATAATGATAATAATAATAATAATTCGAGGTTCTTATATACCGCTTTATCACAACCTAGTTCGTAGGTCGTCTCAAGGCCGTTCACAAATTATTATTCGTAGTTGTAGGGCCTTTGCTACTAGCCAATATATTTCTCAACTCCTAGGGGATCGGCGCCCACAGCTAGCATTCCACAATTCTAGCACTTTCCAACCACGTACACAGTTCCGTGCCGTGACTTGAACCCGCAACCCGGGCCCGTTGGTCACGATAAACGGAAACAAATCAACAACGGCGTTTTCAGTGTTGTCACGAACTTCCACAGAGCATCTATCTGAAGCTTCCTGTCCCACTCGCGCCAAAGTTATATCCGAAATTAAAAAAAAGTGGAGGTTTAATGAAAATGAAAAATTCAACAGTGGAATTCTCAAGTATTTTAACTCGAAAGCGCAAATTTTAGACAGGTTAATATTTTTATTAATGTTAAATTTCATACAAAATAAGCAAAACTTGTGCATCAACGTAATCACTTTCGGATAATTTTCACAAACTCCTCCTATGCTATCCATTAAGCTAAGAGATGATTTAAAAATGATAGAATGTACTAGAATAGATATCTTTCCAATTTAATATGATTTGCAAAAGCAAAAAAATACAAAACAAACAGAACATAAATTCAATAAACGATAAATGAAATAAAACATACCTTGCTTTTTCTGCGTCGTAAACCTCGACGAAATATTTTTCCCTGCCAAAGATAATTAATATTAATAAGATAACACTCCAAAACTAATTTCATTTTGGTAAGATATTGATCAATGTCGTATTTTTGCTTATCATTTAATGGGTGCTTGCTTCAAATCCTCTATAAGCATAAATGTGATAGCATCGAAAAACTAACGGTGCAATCGAAAGAAGAGTTTTACATTTGCTGAAATCGGAGGCTAATTAATGATGATAGGAGGCAGTTAAAAATATGATTTGTTTTTATTTAGATTTGATTATGTCAATGGGTGAAAGTTCTAATGAACTGGCAGGCAATCTTCACACATGAGTAGCATTACGTTATTAACACAGTTTATTAATATAACAAAATGAACATTTTTCATGATTCGTATCTTTAATGTTATTTTCCATAACAAATATGGTTAACTTGATCTATTATTATTATCATTATTATTATTAATAATGTTCATCAACGTATTATTATTAAATGTTGTATATTATTATTAATAATAATATACAACATTTGATATAGCGCCCTATCTAGCTAACATACGCCACTCATAAGCTTCTCTAGAGCGCTTTACAGCGCTATTAAGATATGATACTTTATACTGAAGTGACGAATATGAGAGCAAAACATTTGTATCAATATTTTGTTTAAAATCGTAAAGTTTATAACAAATGTTTCAATTTTAATACTGCTTTCCTTATCATACAGAGGTTTGACTTGAACAGATACAAGTGTATAAGAAAATATGCACTAACGTTTTGCAAGATACAAATCGAGGAAGGTAAAATGCAGAAGTAAAACACATCAACGATATTCGATACAATTAAAATGCATATTTGAAATAAATGTCATTGTATCAGGAAACATATATAGCAGTTTTGTTTCTGGTTCTAAACCTCTTAAACTTTACCTTCTGTCTTGAAGTCTGGCAATTGATATAGATGTTCATAGTATGAAAAAGTCCCTAATAAAACCACAGAAATGATAAAAAGTATAAATAAACATATCCGATATTGAAAGAAATACATCACGTCTCCAGTCCACTTAAGCATTGTCCCAGTTTAAATAGAGCGCTGGTATATATATATACTCACGTGTGTGTTAAAGTCACGAAAAGACAATGGGGGAAGTCAATTAAATCATTTTGTCACACACGAGCAGAAACGCCGATATACCCGTAAGAATGTAATTGAACAAATTTGGCTCGATGCATACATACACGACTATAAACAAATAAAACAAATATCCTGAACGCATTAAGCCCGATCAACAGTGATTTAACTGAATGCTTTGAAGAACAATATGTGTCCTGTTCGATTTATCTGCATCTATCCTGTTTTGATTACTCGGATGCAAATTAGAAAAAGGATAATATAAATCTACTCGATTTTTTGTGTGTACATGTAATAGTTTAAATTCCAACTAGTTTTGGAAGGTGTTTATGCTGTCATTGTTTGTGCTTTGATGCCTCATCCTCGGCTTTTGGTGTTGTTTCGGTGTATCTACGGTTCCTATTGTTTTGGTTTCTGTCTCCTGGGGCCCTGATAATATGTTTTATATCGACTTTGATGACTCTTAACCTTCCAGAACACCTAGTCTTAAACTCTGGAACGTTTTTCAAAAGTACAAATGGTAGACTTTCCAAGTTTCATATTTTGCTCTAGTTTTATCGAATTTGAGTTCGAATTTCGATTTTTGTCCACATTTCAGTATTCATTTTCTTGTTTCATTAATTGCTTTCAATAGAATTACTTATTTTGATATTATCTAACTGTATCTCAGTCAGTGAAGATGTAAAACGTAACCAAACCCTTCACCAGACCCACTTACCATTATCAAAGTAACCAATGGCTCTGTATTCATTCTATATTTCCTCCACTACCTAATCTACCATGATCACCTCAGCCGTCTGCCCCTATATCGGTGTTATAGAACTAAACCTTCCCATATAGTCCGTCTACCATTATATTTGTGCCATAGAACTTCTCATGCCGTCTACTCCAATATCAGTTTTGTAAAATCCTACTTCCCATAACGTCTACCTCTATACCTGTGTGATAGAAACCATTCTTTACCGTAACATCTACCCCTATATCTGTGTTATAGAACTAATCCTTCCCATACCGTCTACCTTTAGATCTGTGTTATAGAACTAAACCTTCCCATATAGTCCGTCTACCATTATATTTGTGCCATAGAACTTCTCATGCCGTCTACTCCAATATCAGTTTTGTAAAATCCTACTTCCCATAACGTCTACCTCTATACCTGTGTGATAGAAACCATTCTTTACCGTAACATCTACCCCTATATCTGTGTTATAGAAATCATTCTTTATCGTAACGTCTACTGTGTTATAGAACCATTCTTTACAATACCGTCTACCCCTATAACTGTGTACCTCTATATCTGTGTTATAGAACTAATCCTTCCCAAACCGTCTACCCCTATATCTGTGTTATAGAACTAATCCTTCCCAAACCGTCTACCTCTATATCTGTGTTATAGAACTAATCCTTCCCATACCGTCTACCCCTAGATCTGTGTTATAGAACAATTATTTACTATACCGTCTACCCCTATATCTATGTTATAGAACCATTCTTTACAATACCGTCTACCCCTATAACTGTGTTATGGAAACCATTCTTTACCGTAACATCTACCCCTATATCTATGTCATAGAAACTAATCTTTAACGTAACGTCTAATCCCTAATTTGTACTATAGAACGCTTCTTTTCCATACGGTCTACCCCTATATCTATGTCATAGAAACTAATCTTTAACGTAACGTCTAATCCCTAATTTGTACTATAGAACGCTTCTTTTCCATACGGTCTACCCCTATATCTGTGTTATAGAAACATTCACTATACCGTCTCCCCCTATAACTGTGTTAAAGAACAATTATTTATTATACCGTCTACCCCTAGATCTGTGTTATAGAACTAATCCTTCCCATATAGTCCGTCTACCATTATATCTGTGTCATAGAACTTCTCATGCCGTCTACTTCAATATCAGTTTTGTAAAATCCTACTTCCCATAACGTCTACCTCTATACCTGTGTGATAGAAACCATTCTTTTCTATACCGTCTACCCCTAGATCTGTGTTATAGAAATCATTCTTTATCGTAACGTCTACTGTGTTATAGAACCATTCTTTACAATCCCGTCTCCCCCTATAACTGTGTACCTCTATATCTGTGTTATAGCAACCATTCCTTCCAATACCCTCTACCCATAATCTGGGTTGTAGAACCATTCCTTTCAATACCCTCTACCCCTAATCTGTGTTTTAGAACCATTCTTTACCATACCCGCTACCACTATATCTGTGTTATAGCAACCATTCCTTCCAATACCCTCTCCCCATAATCTGTGTTTTAGAACCATACTTTACCATACCCTCTGCCCCTAATCTGTGTTTTAGAACCATACTTTACCATACCCTCTACCCATAATCTGGGTTGTAGAACCATTCCTTCCAATCCCCTCTACCCCTAATCTGTGTTTTAGAACCATTCTTTACCATACCCTCTACCACTATATCTGTGTTATAGCAACCATTCCTTCCAATACCCTCTACCTCTAATTTGTGCTATATAACATGTCTTTGCTATACCATCTACCCCTATATCTGTGTTGTAGAACACGTCCTTCCATACCCTCTACCCCTTATTTTTCGCTATTGAATAATTCTATACCATACCCATTACCCCTATATTTGTTTTGCAGAACAAGTCCTTCCATACCCTCTACCCATAATCTGTGTTTTAGAACCATTCTTTACCATACCCTCTACCCCTATATCTGTGTTATAGAAACCATACTTTACCGTAACGTCTAGCCCTTTATCCGTGTTAAAAAAACCTTCCTTCCAATACCCTCTATCCCTAATTTGTGCTACATAACATTTCTTTGCTATACCGTCAACCCCTATATCTGTGTTGTAGAACAAGTCCTTCCATACCCTCTACCCCTAATATGTGCTATAGAACCATTCTTTCCCATACCATTGAACATCGTTTATGGACGTTTTTGAGGAACACTCTGTACATTCCATTTTTAAATTTTCCTTAATTAAAACCTGGTTCGTGAAATAATGTAAACTATTCAAAATACAAGCGAATGTCTTCCTACAAGTTTAAATCAGGCGTTCGGGTCGGAAAATGCACTCACCCTATAAACAAAAGGGCATCGAACAAAATGTGTTCAACAAACCTCTTATCAGAAAGATGACAAAATGGCGTAGTTTGTATTTCTTTTGTTTTATTTCTGTTAATATGTATATAGCGAACAAAAGTCATATGTGAAATATTAGAGCAACAAAGTAATAAAAGTTAACTTTAATAACTTTATAGAAGAAAACAATATAATTTTCTAATAACTTGTTCTCTCATTAAAAGTATATTGCGTCATTATAATCTTTCAAACACGCTCTGAAAAACAACCAAATGCTTCAACTTAACTTCATCACCAATCTATTCTTTCTAAATCAACTGATTGCTTCAGAATAACATTCTAAATAATCAACCCTCTTTAAATAAGATGGTTGCGTCACTCATATAAACGCTCTCTCTTAACCAGTTCATTACTTCAATATTATGTCCAGATAGAGATGCCCGACCTTTCAAAGCAGTTTTTCTGCTTCAATAGAATTCCCAGAATAATCACTTCTCTCTAGATTAGCTGATGAAGCTTCAATAGAATTCCCAGGATAATATCTTCTCTCTAAATTAGCTGATGAAGTTTCAATAGAATTCCCATGAGGATAATCACTTCTCTCTAAATTAGCTGATGAAGCTAAATGTATTCCCATGAGGATAATCACTTCTCTCTAAATTAGCTGATGAAGCTTAGAAGAATTCCCAGGAGGATAATCACTTCTCTCTAAATTAGCTGATGAAGCTAAATGTATTCCCATGAGGATAATCACTTCTCTCTAAATTAGCTGATGAAGCTTCAATAGAATTCCCAGGATAATATCTTCTCTCTAAATTAGCTGATGAAGCTTAATAGAATTCACATGAGGATACTCACTTCTCTCTAAATTAGCTGATGAAGCTTAATAGAATTCCCAGGAGGATAATCACTTCTCTCTAAATTAGCTGATGAAGCTGCATTATAAATCCCAGGAAAATCACTTCTCTCTAAATGAGCTGATGAAGCTTCAATAGAATTCCCAGGATAATATCTTCTCTCTTAATTAGCTGGTGAAGCTTCAATAGAATTCCCAGGTGGATAATCACTTCTCTCTAAATGAGTTGATGAAGCTGCAATAGAATTCCCAGGAAAATCACTTCTCTCTAAATGAGCTGATGAAGCTTCAATAGAATTCCCAGGATAATCACGTCTCTCTAAATTAGCTGATGAAGCTGCAATAGAATTCCCAGGAGGATAATCACTTCTCTTTAAATTAGCTGATGAAGCTTCAATAGAATTCCCAGGATAATCACTTCTCTCTTAATTAGCTGATGAAGCTTCAATAGAATTCCCAGGATAATCACGTCTCTCTAAATTAGCTGATGAAGCTGCAATAGAATTCCCAGGAGGATAATCACTTCTCTCTAAATTAGCTGATGAAGCTTCAATAGAATTCCCAGGATAATCTCTTCTCTCTTAATTAGCTGATGAAGCTTCAATACAATCGCCATAACAACTATGTATCTCTAAAGACCAACTAACTAATATATTACTAATATTGCAATCTTCCAAAACATCCTGTCTCTCTTAATAAGTGGATTGGTTTAAAACATTTGAGCTATCCCTGTTTTTTGCTGGAATGATATGTACATTGAATTAGACATGTCTGTATGATGTCTTAATGTCTGTCTGCCTACATCCTTATCCTATTCCATCTTTCCGTTTTCTAGAGGGACATATATTTCAACGATTCAACCTGACTAGGTATGGATAGGTTTCTGAGGCGTGTTTCATTCTTCATCGGCTGGAATCCCACATTCCTGTACAGTTTCCCACAGCTTTTATCAATTTGTCTAGCATGTGTAAGTTGTATTAAAAGTCTCCAGTTAGAAGATGCGAGTTTGGCATTTGTCCTTTTTGCGCACCAGTAGCAATATTCACTCACATTTTGTTTCAAAGTATGTACTCTTACATAATAATATACTTTGTAGGTAAATTTCAAGATTAAAAAATTAAGATTCTTCTCGTTTTCTGAATTGGATCATTTGAGAAACCCTCATATTGTAGAATTCTGATATTTTTGGAGTATTGCTTATATAATCGATGCGTTACTTTGATATCTGACAGCATTTGGTTACAATGTGAAGATGCTTAAGATGCTATTGTTGACCACCCTTTAAGATCTTTCTTAAGTTCGGATGACAACTTCCCCCTCGGATCCCGGAGTCAGTGTATAACTTTCAGCCCTGGCAGCCATTTTAGTAACAACTCCACTGACGTCATCTCTAAGCCTTGATGATTAAAACGTTCCTGGTTCTGCAAGATGTTTTAAGGTGTTCCAAACAAGCGTTAATATAGTTTCTTCTTTGATGGAGTAATGCACCCTTTGTCCTCATACTTCTTCTGATACAGTAGTAATATCTGTAGAGTAGATCAACATACCGATAGAGAGGTCCATTATGTTGATTTTCAGCCAATCACAAGTGAACCATCGATACAGCATCTCCGCCTTTACTAATCTATACTCTTTCCGGGCGTACAACCTTTAAATAAATACAACAAATTATAAATACTATATACTACCATGTCAATTAAGGTAAATTGCATTATCATAATCAAAAGTTGATCTGCAAAGGCGGCAGGACAGGTACAATCATAGATAGATTTAAAAAAAAACCACGGCCACAGACAGTTGTAGGTTAAACAAATAACCCCGGAAGTTAACCTCGTTGTTGGGGACAGTTTTGGTTTCCGATAACATATATTGTCGCAAAATAGTGATATGAATCGTTATAGCTACTATTATATCAGTTTTTGATGTTGTGTTATGATGGTGTCTTGAATGCTTATAATATGTATGACGACAACCTTTTCAATTTGTTTTGACATATTAAGTGATACAATAAATATAATTTGAAATATCACTTAAATATGGATACATACATCCTAGACAGGTAGTTTATATCTTAAACCATCGGATCAACATCCACTACGGTACACGTTATATTGAATTCCTTATTTTATAATTTAAATGCATCTTTTAAACATTTTGCCCTCCTTCAAGAATATGTTTGAATGTGACAAATATGCATTTCTATCTATATATTTACATTCAAAACAGCAGGATAATATAATTTTATCGTTTTTGTAGAAGTATTTGGTTCTTGATTGAAAATACATTTAAAAAGAACTATTTCAGCAACAGACGGAACAGCCGAGATATATCTGGAGTTTTAACCTTTACACCACCGCGCTTTCCTACTTAGAGGCCGTGTAATGGTAAGAAGGATGCCACGATTGTGTTCAAGTCAAATATGCAGTTATTTCTAGGTTAGGTGATTGGCTGCCAGATACCTAAGTTCGAAGTCTGGACAGGGCACGGGTGGAAACAATGTCTTCCTTCGTCAGATGTGGACATAATGATGTTTCATTTAAAAGGGCGAAACAAGTTGTTTGTACATTGGGCATCCATTACTCTTTACCCACGTATCTCTTATTTTTCAAGAGAGGTGTAATTACCTACTTGTTCCGTTGATAAAAGTAACTTTGCTCTAATTCTTTATATCTTCTTCAAGGTACCTCAATGGTTCAAAAGCATCTGCGCTATTGGCATAGTGTTGTAATATGTCTCCGATAAGTGTGGATCCACTGCGCATGTATGTAACGACTAGGACACGGGTCGGCTCAGTTTCTGTCAATGCATAGAAGAGATTTATAGTTTTAGTATTACACCTTTATAAAATACCAATAATCTTTGGACGTGAAAACACGAAATTTATACCTTAAACCTATTTTTTCGTCATTCTTGTAAATGGTTTAAATTTGAGATTTGTCCATATTTTGAACTATGACAGTCTTTTAAAGTTGTAATATAGCTTCGTAAAAATATCAAAATGCTAGTGAACAATCACACTTATCTTACTTGGTAGTGATGTCACAAAGAAAATATGTTTTGTTCTGCATTTTTGCTGTTGTTAGGTAAAGAGTGGTCTACAGATTATCACGCGACACTTGGTTGTTCCATCAAATGCTCAAACGATATAAAGTATATATCTCTTTTACCGATATAGAAGCAAACAGGTTTGTTCTTTCAGCTTTTCTGTATTTATAACCATGTACTATTGTAATTTTACATCAATAAAATAAAGTTTTAACTTATTATCATAGAGATTGGTAGCGAAGTGACCATTATAATCCTACTGCAGATAAAATCCTAGAGTTAGGAGGTGTCCAGTATTTTCATTCTGTAGGTAAATATCCTAGAGATTGGTAGCGAAGTGACCATTATAATCCTACTGCAGATAAAATCCTAGAGTTAGGAGGTGTCCAGTATTTTCATACTGTAGGTAAATATCAAAGAAATTAGTAGCGAATTGACCATTATAATCCTACTGTAGACAAATAGGCAAGAGTTAGACGGTGTCCAGTATTTTCATGCTGTAGGTAAATATCAAGCTAAGACACTGAAGTAGAGAATGTTAATCTTTTCTTGCCTATAATGTAATATTTTAACTGGTCTACGATATTGGTCCAGTTTCCAATAATAGTCATAGACATTTGCTAATTAAAGAAAGAAACAGACCAAAAAGTCACCTTTTTGAGATTTGTACCGGTTATATATTTGATTTAATGCCATACTCCATACAAGATTTCCATGAAAAAAAACAATACTGATAATATAAACCAAAGATAATCAACAATATTGTTCTGAGTTTAAAAAATCAACGGGGATAGACCAGGTTTCAAACCCTGAACCACTTATTGTTATACTGTCGCTCTTACCAGTAGAGCTTACTGTTCCATGGAACCATTGGCCCACCTGCGCTACAGTTCTATCAAAAACGAAATTAAGGGGAAGTTTCTGTTACCTACAGCAAATTACAATGGAATTATTTTGTGTTTGCTTGCAGTGGGGCAGCGATCCTTGAGTTCAACATAATGAATATGTACAACTCATAAAATCGGTTTATAAGAAATGTTGATTTACTATGGTCCTTATTCACAAAACCTTTTTCTTTTGAAACTCAGATTTTCGCTCACAAGACATATTTGTTTTGGAGATCCAATATAGGGAAGGAAAATAAAGGGAGGAACAACAATATTAAAAAAGAGGACATTTTTGTTTTGTCTTTTGTTTTTGTATTATTTTTATTTTTCAAATGTACTTCTGGTACAATATGCATATATAGATACAATCTTTTCATGCTCCCTTACACCCATACACTCACTCACAGCATTCACATATACTCACTCATCATTTCCTAAAAGAGGACATTAATTTCTTATCATAAATGAAAACATAGTAAATCGTTACCATGCCCGTTTAGATCTGCTCAAAGTTAACTGTACCTTAATAACATTTCTGTAATGTAGCGATCCGACAAAGCAATTTCATCGATTAAAAAAGATTAAAAATCTATCATATGAAAATTAAATATATAGTTGGTAATCATTTTCATTCAATGCTACATTTAGATGTTTCTCAATCTCATGGATGGGATGGTATATTGCGGACAGTGTTTTCTCACTTTAAAAAACACAAAGGGCTATATGAAAATCAATCTAATTAAGATTATATCTTCACATCGCGCCCGTTTACTGTGTGTCGCGTGTTGTTAGATCTTCCACGCGACATATCAGTAAACGGGAGCGATGTGAAGATAGAATTGTTTTTAGATTGATATAAAAATATTACAAAAATGAGTCTATGATGTTTGTGTCAAGAAATAAAGGGCAAGACATGTTGCGAAGGATTGCTTCATCAGGTAATGTTCTATAGCCAAGCTGCTGGTATGCATTTGAACAGACCTTGTCCACTTGCTGAATGTGTTTAAAAAGAACACGCTGGCGCCACCTGTTGGCTGTTATGTCCGAGTTTGTTCGTTTCGCACACCAGTAGCAACCGGAACTGTCGACGTTTGTCATCGTTAAACTCTTAACTGCAAGTTTAATTTCAGTTGTAAACTTCAAATTAATATATGCAAACAATCTTCTGGAAAATTCAACAGGATCATTTGCAAATCTTTCGTATATTTATATTTTCAATCTTTGTGGATATTTTTCTCGTAGTTTTAGAATAAAATCAGTTTCCTTGATCAGCAATTCACAAAGATCCTTCGCAACGAATGTCACAATATCCCATTCAGCTGGTTTTAAAGCCATTTGAGAAGCCAGTTTGCCTCTGGGATCCCTCGTCAAGTAGATGACCTTAAGATTAGGCATTAGTTCCAACAGTAACTCGACAGACTCAATGTTAAGTCTGATTGTTTTGATTATCCGAACCCCTGCTCTGTTACACTGTCCCTTCAGCAACGGTATGCACTCAGGAACTGTTTTAGTTGGAATATGGATCCGCCGCACACAAGCTGCGTACTCATTTAGGTTGGTTGAGTATGCTCCTATGAACATGCTACTAAGATCTTTGAGGTTTACGCGATCAAAATCACACGTAAACCACCTGTACAGTATTTCAGCTTTCATCCAAATTGTATCGCTTTCTTGGTACGACCTGAAAATGTAAAAGAATTTCAAAACATAAACAATGTAACAAAAACTAAATTACATCTGGGTTTATAATATATTCATAAATGTTTATTTTACCAATTTTCATCTGTGTTTTTTTTCCTTTTTAAAGTATTGATTTGAAACATTCTATAGAAAAATGTGTGGAACACTCAGCTCTTCAGTAGATGCATTGAAAACCTAAGTCTTTGGTTTGTTGTTTACGTTTATGAGGTTCTGATTTTCTGTATATTAATCTGTAAAATCTCAAACAGAAATATTGTCATATTTCAAAACAATAATTGTGATCAAAGCTACTAGTGATATACAATTCTGTGTTCTCATTTCCGTTTCTTTCCTTCCCAGCAGACGACTATTTATGTAAGATTTGATATGCCCTCACAAGATGCATCTTTTGAAAATTTTCTAACCGTACAGATATTTTTGTTATTTTGCTACAACTTACTTCAAATAAAATCATCAACAACTCGTTTAGTGATCAAAACAGATTGTACAGTCAAAGTGATCTAGTGACAGGGTATATACAAAAACCTTAAGGCTATGTAATCGGAGAAAGTATATATATCGGATCGAGAAAAACGGTAGTTTGAAGGCAGACCCTGTTCTACAAAAGTCTTACCTTTCGGTTCGGTTGAGAAACACAATCCGTTCTCGCTTTTCCAAGGACTCGGAAAGATATCGGAGTGGCTCGAAAGCGTAGAAGCTTTCATGAACATGCTGAATAATGTGACCTGTCAAGGTTGAACCACTCCGTGGATGAGTGAATATCAGCACGTGTGGACAAGAAGGACTGCTCAGTCCTTTCCTTTGGATCCTTTGTAGCTTTTGTATCTGACGGTCTCTTTTGGTCTTTACTGTAATTGAATATTAAAAATCGTAATTTGCTTTAATACAATCAATACCAGTATTAATATTACTGTACTTATATGTAACTATTACATGTGACCCCTATAGTCCGCCACTCGTGTATCCTGTCCTTCATCCGAAGTCGACATATCCATACTTTCCATTTTTAGCTGTCTTTTATAGACGGCACATACAATGAAACAATCCACAATTCTTTAACAATTTTGTCATTGCGTATTAATGATATGATATAAACTGAAAATTGAATGACAGGCGTTACATGTATTTATCTAAAATCTTGTCTAGAGTTATCGGACTTTAACTCTGATTAGATTGCAGTCGAATACTTTTACTTTTCTTTTTCATTTATTTTGAACGTATTGTTGATATTAAGATTTCTAAAAAAAAATCTCTCCAAATAAGATGTAGATTTCAATAAATGGAACAGACAACAGTGGGTCTCAGTCAGCTATCGCTAACGTCACAAATATAATGACGTGCCGATCTTCCGTTCAGATTTATGATCTCATAAATAACAACTCACTTTGGTAGGGTAAAATAATGACAATACAGAGTATAATAAAATATGTTAATATTACATTTTGCACAATACATTGTATATAAATTTATTTTATTTCTCTCCAACAAACTTGTCAATTATTTCACACAGTAAAATGTGTATATTTGAAAAAAATCCCAATGTCGTTTAAATCTCTTAAATAATACATAAGTAAACTATACATATTATAATATGCAAATAGATTACAAGCATGATGTGTTTTCTGATAAGGGCATACAGTACAATTTCAACGTGGCATTTGTCTCGTGACACCATGTATATATGGGTCTAAATTAAAAAAGTTGCACGATTTCCACCTTAGATTAAACACGAACAAACAAGCTATGTTAAAAACGTTTTGATTACATATGCTTACCTGCAATTGGGTTAGGTCTGACCGTGACTGTGGTCCGGTGAGTGTTTCTGTTCTCGTATCGTAGCAGAGTAATATACATAGAACTTAGAACTACAACTGTCAAAATAGAAAGAATGAGAAAACAGCTGTAGTAAATGCCCATTCTGGAATTCGAACCCATAACAGAACACACATGTTTTAATGTAGCTAATATCCAAACAGGCCGTTTCTGTATATCCGGTACACCAAGGAAAATTTAGGTATATGTATAGATAAAAGCAAATTTGATTAACAACCCACTCTTCAGGCACACTATTGCTGCATTCTTTTGGATAAAAACCCTAATCAAATCAGGTAAATATGTGATCAAATATTAAAATAAATTTTAGAACAACGTCTCCATTTTGGTAGTCGGTGACACTATAATAGCCATTTGACACGTACCCATATCACTCCATGTTATATACAATATACCCTTTGTTACTGCAGGGCTATGGTGTCGGGTTACTGGTAAATAGATTCTACCAATGACTGATCACAAGACAATGCTACACACGAGCTGTTTATCAGCCAGTATTTACCTATTGGCAGTATTAACCGTATGATCAAATCGGATTTGTTCTCCCGACAAATAAAACGAGTAAGGATGAGTGCCTATACGGCCCCATTTTGGGCCCCGTTTTATTCCGATTTTGCCCTCCTTAATTTGTTCAAAGATGTCCTATTGTATTACATGCGCAAAAACTATAGGTAAAAGTTTGACCGAAAGTGAGTTTTTGGGGTACCAAAAGAGGTAGGGTAAATCACAAATATAATTTTTCTGTTTACAAAATGAGCTTAAAAAACAAAAAAGTTCCAGTTCCATTTCTGTTTTTGAAAGCATGCGTAAACTAAACAGGCATATATAAAAGAATGAAAAATGACAGAAATTCAATTGTCACTTAAAGTCGTTGATATAAAAAACGAGGATTAAGTCAGGGGGTTCTTTTATGTAATTTTCAAATGAAAAGTGTTTTTTTTTCTCAATAATTTCCTTTCTAATTTATATTTTGAGTTTCAAATTTACAACTTTACTCATTTGAGTTCACTTACATAAAATGCATATTCACTACACACTTTCCTTTTCTTTTATACTGAGTTATGGCTCATCACAACTACAGTAATAATATATGAAGATTGATTTGCTGGTAATTCTAAGTCTCCTAGCTTCAAGGAAAGTATCTGTTTTAATCACTAAAATTAACCCATTTCATTGTTTTATCAATTGTTGTGACTGTTTCCAATGTTTATGCGCTGATTGTACATAAAAGGCAGTTTGGGATAAGCATGCAACTTGGCTAGATATTGGTTATATGATGATATTTAAGTTGTGAAAGGTTCATACTTATGCCTTTTTTAATTAAAAAAACACCTTTTCTTTTGTTTTGGAATACACGGACTAAAGTGCATCTCCTTGCTCAAGAATGGTTGGCATGGTGACGGAAATGGTAGTCAATGATAGTGCACTTAGATTCCGAAATTCCTTGTGAAACACGATCAATCGAATGAAACGAAGAATCCTGTTTCCCCACAATAAAGGGAATTCCTTTATAATGTAGGTTTTAGCAAATGTTCAAGATTAAGGCTATCCGAACATATACTATTTTTTGTGCAATAGGGACATCAACGTTGTTTTTTAAATTCTCATTACTCTGCCTTATCCCTCATGACATTACTTTGATTTGACCATAGTATCTGCCCCGGAAACGGGGAAATTATGATAAAACATTTACATGTACACATTTCAGAAGCAGATACCTGTGATTTGACCTAGATTTACATGGCGGGTGTCGTTGATGGAAGCAGGGGACGCTTACCCTTCCGGAATACTGGTCTTCCTCCTGTTCTACTTTCCAAGGGCCTCCGTGTTAATAATTTGTTTGTTCATAATAAGTCCTGATTTAGCTCTATCAACATATTTCTTTTCTGTTGAT